GGATCAGTGTTATTCTGCTTGGGAAAGCTGCCTGCAGAGACTCAGCCAGTGAAGGTCAACAGGAAGGTAGTTGGTGCTATTTGTGCTGTTTTGTCTCCTTCACCTGTAGAGATTTATTCACCTAAATGTAAACTGGCATATGTGAATTTATTTGCCACCTCCTGTGGCTGAAATCTTCTTGGAGTGAGCACTGAGCAAAACTGGCCTGATGGTTTCAGAAATACCACATCATGTGCAAGCCTGCATCTGATTAACCCTCTTGGTAGGCTGTGTATGGCAGAGTAGATGCTTCCAGCTCTGGTCTGCTTTGGCTGCAATCAGATGTTCCTCAGTTCTTCCATCTCAAGCTGTTCCTGTGCATGAATGTGCTCACTACCAGAGCCTGGGGCTTTCTGGCCAGAGCTCCTGATGGGGCCGCCCGGCAAGGGAGGCAAATCCATGGCGTAAGCAAACATCCTGCTGCAAGCTCCCTCTCCACGGTTAGTGCCAGTTCTGCCCCTCCTCCTCGCACCCGTCCTGGCAAGGGCTGGATTACATACCTAATCCCTTCAGAATAAGGCTGACCTAGTTGAATAGATAGAGCCTTCTCCCTGCCTCCCCTGCGTGCATCCGCAGCGGGGAGGGGACAGGCCGATCTCATGATTGGAATGGGGGTTAACGCTGCTGGGTGTCTGACTATTGGATGCTATTTATAAACCTAGTACAGATTAAAATGCTTTTCTCTTTAGGGCATGCATGGCTTGCTTCGAATTAACCCTTTGTCTTGCAGGGGACCCAAGCGGGGTTTTGGGGAAGGGCAGTTCTTCACCTCTTCATCTTGCTTGCATCCTTGTTTGGTTGGGTCATGCAAGGCCCTGTCTAGGGCATCTGTGTCAGTTAGAGGTGGTGTGAGCAGTAGGGATTGATCCACCTTGTGGGGTGGTGGTGAAATAGTGAAAGGCAAGCAGTCCAGTCATTAACTCCACGTCAAAACAAAATATTGAATGTTTGCCAAAAAATTACAGAGAACCTCCCCCTGTCCCCTCACCCTTCTGAAGGGTGGGGAGGCCTTTCTACTGTCAAGCATATGATCCTGGGAATTCAGAGAAGGGTCTTGATAGCATAGACTTACACAGAATGTATGGAATCCAGGGGATGTACTACAGGCTGGGGGAAGAAGGGTTTCACTTGTGAAGTCAGGGATTTCTATTTAAGTCTTAGTCTGAACTCTCATGACTTCTCACTTTCTTTTCACAGAAATGATACCAAAGAAGATGTGTTTGTTCATCAGGTAAGAGAGCAGTAATTGTACTTAGAGATGTGCACTATGATAGGTTTCTAATGCAGCTTCCTGAAACAGCCACCTAACCTTGTCCTGGCTTCTCCTTAGAATATTTACCACAAATACCTTGAATGGATGTGTATGTTGAAATTTTCAGGGAGGAATATTAGGGTGTGTTTTCCTTCTCTCAGAAGATATAACTACTGAAGGAGTAGGTATTACAAACTTTCTTTTGTCTGCTCTTGATTTGAACACCGAAGGTTTTTTGGGGATTTTTCTGGTGTGTCTTGTTTTGTTCAGTTGTCCCTCCCTTGGGGAGATGACTCCTCTGTTTTGTTAAATACCTTCCTACTTGTCTGTCCTTCCCCACCATTTCCTCATGCTCCTTGTGCCTTCTGGTTCTTCTTACCCTCTTCGTTTGCAGGTCTGTTCTGTCTGCCCTCCCTGGTATTGGAGAGAAAGTGATCTAGTCTGGCTCTTGACCAGCTTGGTTGCCATCAGCTGTTGCTGTATGAGGCAGCTGCTCTTAGGAAGAAGAAGAACAAGGCTCTGTGCCAAGTGTGCCCAAGCGGAGAGAGGTTGCCCAGCGGCTTGTCATTGGTTAGCTTCCCTTGAACTGTCACTAGGCTGTTCTAAGTTTATACTGTGACTCTCTGGTTGCAGGCAACTAATGGGAAGATGGAGGATGCTGTCTCCATGCAATGTAAACTGATTTAGTTGGCTTAGATCTGTTTTTGCATCATCTGAGACTTCACCAGAAAAATTAAATACTGCCCGTGGAGTTTGTCCCATATGAAATGTCTGCGGGCCCTTGTGATCCTTAAATGCATGAGCTTTCTCTTTGGCATAAGTGGCAGTATTTCCATCAAATGTAACTAGGAAGCTTGCACTCAGAGCTGGTCACAGAGGATAAGGATATGTGGTTATGTAGTTGTGTTAAATATGCTGGCCAACATTGAGAGTTAGTTTAGTTTCTGTGGCTTCATGACTAAATAGCCTGTGATAATGGTTTCTTTGGGTCAAGGGGTGTAGACCCTTTATCCAAAAATGGATGAAGCTGTGAGAGAATAAATCTGGTGCCTGTAATGAGTGAAGATGACAGGGAGTGTGTGCAGTACACATTCTGGGTTCAGTTGGTGGATTTCAGAGCAAGAGGTCTCCATGCATGTACCAGTTTCTAATGGTGACTCTCCTTCCTTAATGACAGTGTGCTGTGTGCATGCTGATACAGAAGCTGCCTCTGTGGCCTGATGAGAGTGTGTCCAGAGGAGGGTGGGAAGAGTTCTAGTAGCAGAAAAATGTTCTGGATAGGCAGCACTGTAAAACTACTGTGACAATAAACGAGGTCTTAAGACCTGTGAGAAAATATCCTGGAAAATGGTGGTTGTGCTGATAACAGATAACGTGGATCAGTGTTATTCTGCTTGGGAAAGCTGCCTGCAGAGACTCAGCCAGTGAAGGTCAACAGGAAGGTAGTTGGTGCTATTTGTGCTGTTTTGTCTCCTTCACCTGTAGAGATTTATTCACCTAAATGTAAACTGGCATATGTGAATTTATTTGCCACCTCCTGTGGCTGAAATCTTCTTGGAGTGAGCACTGAGCAAAACTGGCCTGATGGTTTCAGAAATACCACATCATGTGCAAGCCTGCATCTGATTAACCCTCTTGGTAGGCTGTGTATGGCAGAGTAGATGCTTCCAGCTCTGGTCTGCTTTGGCTGCAATCAGATGTTCCTCAGTTCTTCCATCTCAAGCTGTTCCTGTGCATGAATGTGCTCACTACCAGAGCCTGGGGCTTTCTGGCCAGAGCTCCTGATGGGGCCGCCCGGCAAGGGAGGCAAATCCATGGCGTAAGCAAACATCCTGCTGCAAGCTCCCTCTCCACGGTTAGTGCCAGTTCTGCCCCTCCTCCTCGCACCCGTCCTGGCAAGGGCTGGATTACATACCTAATCCCTTCAGAATAAGGCTGACCTAGTTGAATAGATAGAGCCTTCTCCCTGCCTCCCCTGCGTGCATCCGCAGCGGGGAGGGGACAGGCCGATCTCATGATTGGAATGGGGGTTAACGCTGCTGGGTGTCTGACTATTGGATGCTATTTATAAACCTAGTACAGATTAAAATGCTTTTCTCTTTAGGGCATGCATGGCTTGCTTCGAATTAACCCTTTGTCTTGCAGGGGACCCAAGCGGGGTTTTGGGGAAGGGCAGTTCTTCACCTCTTCATCTTGCTTGCATCCTTGTTTGGTTGGGTCATGCAAGGCCCTGTCTAGGGCATCTGTGTCAGTTAGAGGTGGTGTGAGCAGTAGGGATTGATCCACCTTGTGGGGTGGAGTGTGCCTGGGGGGGAGGAGGGTTCTTGCAATTTAACACCATTAAAAGTGTCAGTAGGCAGAGAAGTCCAATTTAACTAGACATAGTTTGAATCCACAAGCAGTGAGGAGGAGTTAATCTCTTCTGCTGCTCAGGTCTCTTTCTTCACTGGATTGTCTTCACTGTGCACAGTTTGGTGTATGTGCGCCAGTAAGTGGTGCAACAAATCATGGCTATTGCTGTGACAGTGCTGGATGTGCACACAATGTGGTGATATCAGGGTATGAAAGGAACTCTTCCAAACAAAATACTCAGTAGCTCTGAAGACTTCTAAAGCTGTCTGTTCATCGGTGTCCCCTTGGGAAAGGAAAGGCTTTGTCTTAATTGTGGAGTGCTGTCTGTATTAACACAAAGCATCTGTCTCTTGAATCAAAGAAGCTGGAACCTGTAGGATGCTGGTGAACAGTAACAGGGAGGATTGTGCTCTCTCCCCTCTGGATATACAGAGTAAAAGTCTTTTCATCAGGCTTAGAGCTTAGGCTTGTTAGAAGCTTATTTCAGCAATGTTTACCTGCAGCTGAAGTAGTAAGTAGTAAAGCTGCAGAGTGCATGCTCTGAATTCTAGGGCTTGCTCAAAATTGTTCCTGGTTGCCTTCATAAAACAAGCCCCAGCCTACTGTGTGGCAGCCTCTATCTGCTGTTGGCAGGTTATTCAATTGCAAATCGGGATTTTTGAAGTTTCTGTCCATAAAGCCGGAACAGAACATGTGGAATCCTGTTGAATTTCTTCCATACCCTTCTTGGAGGATGTTTAAAGAGCTTCATTATTTTTAAGTACACCTTCTGCTGAGAAGAAATCTGGTAGTCCTTTCTTCCTCTGCACTTACAAAGAAGGGGAAGTTTGAAATGCAGCTTATTGATATCTGTCATATGCAAAGCACAAGTCTTAAGAGTTTGAGTCGGTTGTCTCAGTACAAGTAGTAGTGAAAGAATTAAACCCTTAATCTGCAGTGAAGATAATGATTTTAGTATTGGTATATAGCATTTGTGGAGAAGCTAGGACTTCCAGTCGATTTTAGAAATGGGGCAGTTACACTAACAGGTCAGCAGAAAGTGAACAAAGCTGTCTCAGCTGATGGTGGGAGTCTCTGCTGGCTAAAGTAATTCCCAAAAGAATTCACTTGAGCAGCTCATTCTCTTCCTGTATCAAAAAAACCCTCTTGGGTTGTTTTTGCTTTGGTAGCAGTAATATGTAGACTCTTGCATTCTTCCTTAAGCCATTCAGGGACGCTGCAGGGTACAGGGAAAGGTGTGGCTAGATGTAGGGCTAAAAGGGCATGCTGGCCTACTGCCTGAAACAAAGGGGACTATTCAGCAGCTATGAGAATACTTTTCCTAAACTGGTCAAGATCATCTTTAAACTGATTAAAACTTTTCCTTTAGTGGGAAATACTTTTGGGCTATTGGCTGAATGAATGTAGCTGCCACACACAGGCAACAGCTTAACAGATCTTCATTCTGCCTGGTTTTCCTTGAACTGCAGATGGATGTGACAAGGGTTTCTTCAGTTTCTGCCCCGTATCCCATTTCTTAAGCTAGATTTGTGCCTTGTATTTGTCTGTGCTTTTATCTACTGGATCTGCACTTACCTCCATGCTGACAAAAGATGCCCATATCAAGAAATTTAAAGTGAATTGGTCTTTAATAGTCTGAGAACTTCAGTAAAAAGCTGGCTACTAGATTGCTTTGTACAGTGTGTGTCTTGGTTTTGTTTGGGCTTTTTCTTCCCTGGCCTCTTCCAGTTTGTGAACCCTTACCTAATGAACAGACAGTAGGCTTCTCCTAACTGCATTTTGTGGAATCCTAGAAATACTCCACAGAGTGAAAGGCATCAGTACTTGACAGGCTGAAAATTGCTCCAGGTTTGAGTGTTCCTGTGAATCTGAGGAGGCTGTCAACTGGTTTTGATCTGAAGCCATGTTTTTAATAGTATCTTGGGGTTTATGTCTAGGAGATAGGACTAAGTCTGTGGTTATCTGTTCTGGTACCATTTGTGTTCTTCAGGGACTCACCTAAATTTGGCCTGTCTCCTTTACAGTGCTTAGGTAAAATTCTTATTTATGTTACACCAGAGTTATAGTAATTCTTCTTCAGTTACTCTTGAGTTGCTATGATACCATGTAGTAATACCATCTTCTACAGAAATGCTCGTGGTCTTAAATTCCCTTTAGATGGTCTAAAGGTCTCCTAATGACTGTGAAAGCATGGATGTCACTGCTGGAGCTGCCTTGGTACAGCTTGCAGGAGATCAAATGCTCACTATGAACTCTGTACAGAAGTATGTAATGATCTGGATATTTAGTAGTTTTGACAGAGGGGATCCTGGGACAATAGCTGATTTGTAAACTCATAAGTACTGAGAAAGGAGTAAACCTTGACCTGTGGAATAAGAGACATCTGTGTATTTGAAATATCTTGGTGACTGATCTGGTGTGTAGAGTTGGGATTGTAGCAGAATAATACTGTCCTTCCCTCCTCCACAGGGCTATGAATGTGTAAGATAAGTATGGTAAGATAATTTTCTGTATCTTCTTTCTTTAAAGACGGCAATAAAGAAAAACAACCCACGGAAATATCTGCGCAGTGTCGGTGATGGAGAGACTGTAGAATTTGATGTGGTCGAGGGAGAGAAGGTGAGACATTATGGAGATTTAGGGGTGTTATCCAACAGAGTTAACATCACTTTAGTGGGGAGTAACAGAAAACCTTAGCTGTGTCTAATATGTTAATCCCTGGAAGATCTGTTTGTTTTTCTTTTTAAAAGGCTTCATAAAGTATTTCTAGGTGTGAATCAAATCTCTACTTTAACTATATCCTAGTGCTTCTAGAATCTGTAATTTTTCCTTGATAGAGGATTTGAAGCTTGCAGCTTGCCCAGTGATCATTAACTGAGGCATACATTGCCCTGAAGAATTTGTTTTGGAGTCTGGTAGCTTATTAACTGTAAGAACCTTCAAGTTCTTTACACTTTTACTTGCTCAATTTTTTGAGTTTTCTGATTTTTTTTTTGAGTTTTCTGATTTTTTTTTTTTTTTTGCTTGTTTTTAGTCAGCTACTTCTTGCTTTTTCCTCTGAACTAATCCTGACTGATAGGGTCTTAAGTCATGATTGTAATTGTTAGTTATGGGGTTGAGAATAAGAAAAAACTGGCTTTGCACTATGTGGGTGAAAAGAGTTTCTGTAGCTTGGAACTGATGCAAAAAAGCCTCTTTTCTGTTTCACCTTCTCCCTGTGCTGGTTGTTCTCACACCACCCTGGTTTACTTTCTTTTGACCTTTTAGGGTGCAGAAGCAGCTAATGTCACTGGTCCAGATGGAGTCCCTGTAGAAGGCAGCCGCTATGCTGCAGACCGGCGTCGCTATCGACGTGGCTATTTTGGCCGACGCCGTGGGCCACCTCGAAGTGTAAGTTGAGTTTCTTAAAACTCTGGTCATCCTACCTCCTCAGCAGTATTCTGATTCTCTCCTAAGGGAACTGCAGGTTCAGCACTGGCATATAGTAAGCTGTCAATGCTTAACTAAGTTGTAGGTGTTCCTCAGTAATATTCTGGGTTCTTCTAGCACATCATTGATGTTGATACTGATATTTTCTATTATTGGGTGTCCTACCTTCCTTGGCATGTCTCTGTAGAATATGTTAAAAGCATCTCTTTGGCTGTTAAGGTACCTCTTTGTTTGAAGAATAAACACAAAGGAGTGAGACACTAAGTGGTTCACCATGCCCTTTACTTGAAGCAAGGGGAAGTATTTATATTGCTCTAAGTAGCATAACCATATCTCAGAAGGGTTACTTGGAAGACTGGATTTGTTTATAAGTTTATCACTTACACATGGCATGGTGGTAGTTTGACCAACTAGTTGAAACCTCCATGTGTCATCCCTTCATAGGCCTTTGCCTACAGCAGTTCAGTGTAAAGTTAATGCATTTTTTTCTTTAAAATGGCTATGCACTGCTGTTCATAACATCTGCAAACCTTCCTAAGCAGCTTGAGAGGGAGAAGTATGAGGTACATGGCTGTAGTTCTAGCAGTTACCACTCCCATCCACACTGTGCTTGTGTTAAATTGCTGCCTGGAACAATCTGACAAACTGGAACATACTCCAATCTTTATTATCTCTAATAGTCGAGTCTGTGATGATCAACTGCAGAAATGTGTGAGTGATCCAGTATGAAAACCCTGGTGGAAGTCTCTGCCCAAGCAATGTAACTCTCTTCTCATCTTGTTCTACAGAGTTGACAGCACAGGGGCGAACAGAACAAGTTGTCAAATCTTTCCTTAAAGCCTAGCTGTTTATACTAGCTATCACGAGGTCTTGTCTTTAATCCTGCTGGACACCACTCAGCCTTAAATACATGAAAGGTGTTCTGAGTGCCTTGAAGACAGCTAGAAGCTGGTGCTGGTAACTGATGGCTTATTACTGGGTATGTCTTTGTTTTTGTGGTGATACAGTTTGTAGCTTCAGCTTTCATGTCAAGTGGCAAAAGAACTAGGATACTTGGTTTTGTTCAGCTTTTTGATGTTTCAAGTCTTATCTGTTAGCTCATCAACCAGCTACGTTCCAGTATTGATTCTGTTTCCCTTTGCTCTCCTGAGATTAAAATCTCCCTCAACTGTGTTTATGGGGAGTGAATGCATTAGTTTATAGTATTGGTGTTGTCTTGGAGTTGCTTCAGATTTTAAATGATCAGACATATCAAGCCTTAGACAACTCGTACTGCTGGGTATGGAAAGCAGCTGTTTCTGCCTGAAGAGTGATAATATGAGACCCAGCTTATTCATGGGGAACATTCAGTCTCAGAGTACTCATGCTGGGACATGTTCTCTTGGATGTCTAATGTAAACTCATGCAGCTGAAAATCCTGCTTGCATGTGACACTAATGCACTTGGATCCTCGTACTTGAAGATGTACACAAGAGGAACAAATTGTGATATCACTGTTTTCCTTTGGCTTGTTTATATCTGAGTCCCCAGACTGATTTGGTGTGCGTACCAGACCTTAGCTGTTGTGTGACTAGTGCCTGATGTCCTATGAAGTCATCTCTCATTTTGTAACCCAAAACATACTGCTCTCTTGGGGACCATTCACCCTGGAAGAATTACAGTCTTCAAAACTTACAGATGATTTACAAAAGGACATTAACCTGGCTGTTTCCCATTGTTCATGAGATTTGTTGGTCCTTCTCTTTAGCTTGCTGAGTATCCTCTGAATGTCAGTGCGTTGACTGCTCCTCTGGATTTGGTGTCGTCTGATAAAAATAAGAGTAAATTCTGTTTCATCCAAGATGTTATAGCATCGTTCCCTTAGCATGCCACCCTAACAAGTAACAAATCAAACTCCATGATTGCTGTGACCTTTCAGAGATGTTACTGGCCAGGCAGTGACATTGGCCAGCCCCTTCAGCACTCTCAAATGTATCCTGTGTAGTCTCAGATTTGTATGTGTAGGTCTTCAGTGATACTTACTTTTCATGGGTGAGCTTGGTCAGGAGTTACTTGTCCAGCCAAAGCTGATGTTCTGTTGTGCCTGCTCAACTCTCTGCATGTTGCAGTGGACCCTTCTTGTGTTCTGAGCTAATTTGAGGTACAGCCAGTTCTGTTGGGCCTTATTACCCACTCATTTATTTGTTGCCTGAACAGGTCAAAGTTCTCCTTTAAGGAGGTCTTTGCAGGGACTGTCCCTGAAGTTGTCCTAGTGTAGGTCAGTGAAAGCACTCAAACTTGTCCAGATACTGTCATCCCCTGTGTGCTTGCTTTAATGGATCAATTGAGAGTAGAGTGAATCGTCATCTGAAGCTGTCAGTATTTCCTTCTGGGGAGTTTTCACTTGCATCAGCTAACACATTCTTCACACTGAAATTGCTTGGCTGATGCATCTGGGAAGATGCTTCATTCTAATATCCTTTTCCTTTAACAAGGGCTCCTCTTTCCCCTTCTATTCTGACATTGGTAAAGGTGGAGGAAAGGTAGCAGTGTATGTGAGCTGTAGCAATACATGTATACACTGTTCTGTATGGTCCTGTGAACAGGTGCATGAAAGGTTGTGACTCTCTACTTGAGGAAGTATTTTTGGCTAACTGTCCTGCAGGATATTTCTGGGACAAGTTTGTTTTGCTGATGGTATGGCACTTTTGGGCTGTGTCTGCTGAAAGGATATTTACTCTGCTGCACACCTGAAGGAAAAGGTCTCAGCATACTCAGGCCTGCTATGCTTAGAGATCTACTAAGCTGCAGAGGTGAAAGGTTTTCCCAGAGCTCAGCTGAGCCTGTATTTACTGAAAAATCGTTTCATTTGTTGGGGTGAATTTTGACATAGTGACCTTCTAGGTTTTCAAGAACTCTTAATAATGTCTGTTAGCAACTCCAGTCCAGCCTTACAGTACAGCAAGAGTTGATTTATCCTTGCTTACTGGCATGGGTTTAGGCCAACTAAAGATACTACCCTTTTTTTGCCATACTAGCTCCAATGTGCTTGTACTCTGTGTAACTTACTGGGTCTGTTTTTGAGCACACTGAATTTCTCAAGAGTGAAGAGAACCTTGAGGAATCCGAGGTATTTAACCAGCTCCAGTGGAACTGTCTGGATTGCATGGAGAGTTCTGTTGAAAGTGGAAGTACTTGTTTATATCAGAAGTTTCTTAACTGTATCTACTACAGAAAAGAGGCTGCGCTCTTCACTAAACTGTGACAACATAGATATGGCAGGGAGCTGTAGTCAGAATGTTAGAACGGGCAATGAATCGTGGAGTAACCTTGAGAACAGATGATGCCCTCACATACATATCGTGTGTACTACTAATAGAAGAAGCCTCTATATAAGTGAGTTGGAAAATAAGCTAAAGAGCTTGAGAGCTGTTTTAGGAGCTATGCTATTTCTTACTGAGAAGAAACCTGAAAAGATAAATAGTACTACACAAAAGCTAGAGACTGATCTGAAGAGATACAAGAACCAATGAAGAAATCAGGGGAAGCAGATGGGTAAAAAGCCCATTGCAGTTACAGTTAATGCTTACAAAACCTTTTTTTGGGGGACAGCAATAAAATTTTGTATCTTTTTAGGGTTAGAGAAATCTCTGTGGGAGACCTTTATGGGGAATCACAGCCTGCCTGCCTATTTTTGCCTTCTGAGGAAAGTGTAGAATGCAGCAGCCCAGCTTCATTCATTTGTCCTTTAGGGTGACCTCATGTTTTGTTGGAAGGTTCTTGTGGGGCAGATTGAGTGAACAGGATCATGCGTGTGCTAGACATGGTGTGGTGCTTTTAGGAGAGTACAAATGAATATGAAATGCTTTTCTAATAAATCAATACAGTTGCTATCAGTAAGGTAAACCAAATACACTTACTATCAGTAAGGTAAAACAAGACATCGAAGCTCAGGTTCTGTTTTCTGGTCAGATTGCATCGGTGTCAGTAATTTCTGACAGCATGGCTGGTTTATTCTGGAACTATACTTCATATCTGGCCAATAGACCTAGGTCAATTGATAGTGATACTAATGTAATATGTTGAATCTTTGTGATACTATAGAAGATGCGGGAAACTTAGGACTTCTGGGCTAAGCAATTCACTTCCTTTGCTACTCTGTTTTCAACTGATTGTTTAAACCAAACCTATTTAAAATACTGACATAGCAACATTCAGTTCAAGATGAATAGGAAAATGTTTGCGTTGTTTTCGAGTAATGCTTCATCAGGATTAGTCATTCTTTCTGTCACTACAGAAGTTGGAGTCTTTTATCTGAGATTCTAATGCAGCCCTCTGTAGGGAGGAGTGGACTTGGGCTGTGCCATTAAAAACATTCAGTGCTTCCTTTTAGAGTTGTGAATGATGCTGACTGTCAAGTGCTATAGGAGAGCTTTGGCTGATGAAAGTGTTGTATGCCCCTCCCTACAATTAGGTTGGTTGATGCTGTGTTAGCTTCTGGCACATTTTCCCCTCAGACAAGACCCAGTAGGCCTTCATGGTTCTGTATTTCTGGCATTGCAGTGGTAGAAATGAGCACTGATTCCAATCCTGGGAAAGAGAGATGGTGATTATGATGGAATATATTCAGGATTGTTTTAGTTCTGCATCCTCCCATCCCTTCACATCTTGGTGCTCTCTTCTGTTTCTGTGCCTTACCAGCTCTCACATAAGGAAGAGTGAGAGCAGGAGCAGCATTAGGTCCTTGCTTCACAAAAGGCAGATCCCAAGAGCTCTGAATCACTATTGCTGCACACAGTACTGGCAGTGCTATTTCTCACCTTACTGTCAAGAGATGCTTCTGACCACACATCACAGGTCTGTTAAAACTGTAAAGTTATGTAGTACAAGGCATCTCGGTACAAACAGGACAGATTGGTACTGCAAAGTAGATATAAGTAGTATAATGCTGTTGTAAACTTGGAAGTGTAATTTTCCTTTTGTGTTCTGAGTCTCTCGGGTACTTCTCAACAGCTATCAGATTCTACCTATTATTACTACCCACTTGGTGGGAGTTCCTCTTGATATTTAGTTATCCTGATGAGTTTTATACATGAGAGAACATAACAGATAATGTTACTTATAGTGTTTTTTTAATTGAATTCTGATTTCTCTCTGCTCAGCCACTGAGCCTGTCATTGTTAAGAGTAGTTGATATAGCTATTTCTAAGTGTAGCGTGTGAAATATTCCAGTTGCCTTTAGACTGTGTCTCTGTGCTTTTTGGAAACTTCAAAAGCTACAAAGAGTGCTTGGAACTATTAATGTGTTTGGAGGATGTTTTACTGTGGTGAGAGGAGAAGATTGTCCAGCTTGGTCACTGAGGTTCATTTAATTCGTCAAGATTTCTTGTTACAACCTACAGCAGTCCAGCCTTTCTAAATGCTAATTGTCATGTTATCTTAGCTAAGGAAAAATTCACTGCCCATGTAGTTACCCAAGACTGACAGATAAAATATGATGGTAGTGGTTAAAATAGCTGTGTGAAATGGGAAGGGGACCTGTCAAACTTTAGTGTAGACTACTGAAAGGCTGTTAGGAAGCAATAGCTTTTGTTCTCTGCTGGATCAGATCCAGAAGATCTGGAAACAGAAGTCCATGCCTTGTTAAATTCCTTCTTTTAAAGGGAAGAACAGGGTAATGGGAATGGTTAATAATGTTTGTTTTATTAAAAATTACAATACTGAAAACAAATAAACAACAAACTAGGACAAAAACTGATACAGCTTTATCAGTTAACAACTAAAAGGGGAAGATAATCGCTGCATCCCTGAAAGGTTGAAAATGTATTTGACATGCTGTGGTACAGTTTTATTCTATCTTTAAATTTCTTGATGTTTTTGTGGGAGTTCTCAGTGGAATGGGGCTTCTGTGTAGAAAGAAGCCAGAAGTGGTCTCTGGCAAGTTTGTGTGATGTCTTTCAGTTCATGTCCAAATTCAGAAGTGTCCTGATTGACAGCTGCCTCCCCAAGACACTGCCTTGTAAGGGGTAAATGTGTTATGTCTTGAAATGCACTTTCGTATACATCAGAGAAGTCAGGTTTGCTGCCTTTCTTGGCAGACAGGGAGGAGGCATCATCAGGTAGCTTCTTAGTCTGTTACTCTGAGGAATGAGGGTAGCATTATTGGCTTTTGTTGTTCTGTCCTACTCTTTATCTTTGCCCAAATTAAACTCTTTTGAGTATCTGCTGCTTTTACCCTATGTGCTGGTGTTTCTGTACTGATACAGTGTTTTTGAACTTCTGTTCACGTCACTGGGCTTTATAGTTAATACACTCCCTGCGAAATAAGATAACACTTCACCTTTAATTCTGTCTTCTGTTTTCTTTTGATTGTAGGGTGGTGAGGGAGAAATCAAGGATGGGGTTACAGAAGGAGGACAACTTCATCAACAAGTCCATAGGAATCCCACGTATCGTCCCCGCTATCGCAGGTTTGTACGGTTTCCTTTGCTCATCATTAAATTTGGATGCTTTTGTGGTCTCTGCAGGCGTCATTAAGAGCAGGAGGCTGTATCCCCTGGCATTAATGTGTATGCAAATAGTAAGGACAGTGAGAAGCGTTATAATTACTAAGAGAAAGGTGAGCCACAGGAGTAAGGAAATAACTGTAGAATTTGTTTGATGTGATTATATAGTGCTAAGAGCTAGGAATAGGTCAAGAAAGAGCAAATAATTATTTGTATCCTGTTACTTCTCACAACTGAGCAACATATTGAACTGAGCAAGTTGCAGGATCTCTGTCTTCCCAGCTAAACTCTTTCTGGACAAGTAACAAATCCAAATCCCACTTGGTCTGGGACAGCTAGGCCCACTATCTGCAGGGGCAGGGTGTGCTTTATCTTTGCTTGTGGACAACAGGTCAGCTCTGGACTAGTACTTTGAGCCCATCCAGTGCAGTCCTACATGTCACTCAGGCTTGGTTTTATGCACTGGTGCTACTTGTAGGTATTGAACAGTTGGCTTTCCTTTGTAAAAGCTTTCCTCTGTGTCCTGTCCCTTCCAGGCCATTAGGTTGTGTGATAGCATTATAGTTGTCTTGTAGTAACCTGTGCTAATGGAGGGTATTGCTGTCAGTCAAGATTTAAACTTTAGGTTCTTTGAGGGCTCCTAAAGGAGAAGGTAACAGACTAGGTTTATTAGTGACTTTTGCTAGAACTTCTGAGGAAAGGGAGTGCTGAAGAGACTGGAGAGCTTCCAGGAAAAATAACTCATCAAAATCTTTGAAGGGGGAAAGAAAATAATCTGAAGAGTGGAAGTGACTAATGACGTTGAGGCTGGAGAAGAAACAAGTGAATATAGATTATAGAGGTCCTCAGAATAATGAGTAGCATGTAAAGGATGGATGAAATCAGTTTTGCTTTTTCTTATAAAAGAATACACTATGAGGAGCCTTGAAATGAAGGAAATGGAAGGCATAGTGAAAAACAAAAAGAAGTTCATAGAACCATAAGACAGTCCAGGTTGGAAGAGACCTCAAAAATCATCTGGCTGAATCTTTCAAGAGAAAAGGAGACTACATGAGGTTATCTAGCACCCTGTCCAATCACACCTTGAAAGCCTTCAGTGATAGACTACCACATTCCTGGGGAGGGTGCTCCAGTAAATAATTGTTCTCAGTGTAAATCTTTCTTACATCAAGCCAGAACCTCTCCCAGTGCAACTTGTACCTGTTGCCCATTGTATTCTTAGTGTGGCTCCTTGTGAAGAGGAAGCCTTTGTCCTCTTTGCAGCTGCTCTTTAAGTACTGAATTACTGTGAGTTCCCCCTATCCCTTCTCTTCTCCAGGGAGAAAAGACCTAACTCCCTCAGTCTTTCCTCGTCAGGCAGTTTCTTGCCCTCTGATCACCTTGGCCCTCCTTTGGTCTGTATCTAGTCTGTTCCTTTTTGAATTGTGGGGACCAGAACTGGACACAGGACATCAGGTGTGGCCTCATCAGTGCTAAGTAGAGTGGGATGTTCAGCAATCTGCTACTAATGCTTCTGTGGATGCAGCCCAGGATCCATTTTGCCTTTGTTGCTGCAGTGGTGCCATCCTGACTCACGGTCAGGTTGCTGACTTGGGTTGTTAAACATACAGCAGATTACTGGAGCTTTTTGCCACGGGATGCTGGTGATGTTAAAAGCTTGCATGAGCTTGGGGGAGACTGGTCTAATAACTAGAAGAGAATACCACTGTGATATCCCTAAATAGGCAAACTATTTGGCTCGGGAAATCCCCAGTGTGGAAACCAGTTGGAGGCTGGGAGGCTATTTGGGAAGTAGGTTTCCTTGTCCTTATTTTTCCCTAGGGATTTGTAAAACTGGGAAAAATGGATGTTTGAAGACCCAGTAGGCCACTCTTTTATGTTCTCAGTAAAGATCCCTTGGAGTTAATATGAACATTGATGCTTTCCAGTGAGATATGTGAAGTAAGTTGCTGAGTCATCTGTGTTAGTCATACCTTAAACTAGCCAGTATAGGATTGTTTTCTTTATTTCCCAGCCTTAGTTCTGATATGGCTGCTCCAGCTTCCAGTCTCCACACTGAGGGAACAATTCCATAGCTGAGGAATTTGATGTAGTTAAAAATATCGGTGTGAAATAGTCATCCTCTGACTGTTATACCTTTTGAGTTGTTGCCTCACTTTTTTTTTTACTTGAATTCCTTTAAGTGGAAAAGCTCACTCAGATTCTTGGCTTCTTGTGACTTGTTTTATCATGGAGAATAAGTAATCTACTGTTTTATTTAATTTGTCATTTTTACTGGTGTTCTTCATAAAGTGCTGTGATATGGTCCACCCCAACATCTTTCTCTCTAAGTTGAGAGATGGATTTGGTGGGTAGACTGTTTAGTGGATGAGGAGTTGGTTGGACAGTCACATCCAGAGGGTAGTGGTCAACAGCTCAATGTCCAGATGAAGATATTAAACAGTACTGGTCCCAGTATGAACCCCTGAGGGACACCATTTATCTTCGTCAGTGACACAGACGGTGGGATCGAGTGCACCCCCAGCAAGTTTGCAGATGATACCATGCTGAGTGGTGCAGTTGACATGCCTGAGGGATGGGATGCCATCCAGAGGGGCCTGGACAAGCTCAAGAAGTGGGCCTGTGTGAACCTCATGAGGTTCAAGAAAGCCAACAGCATGGTCTGGCACCTGGGTTGGGGCAACCTGTGGTATCAGTACAAGCTAGGGGATGAAGAGATTGAGAGTAGCCCTGTGGAGAAGGACTGGTGGTACTGGTGAAAGAAAAGCTGGACATGAGCTGGCAATGTATGCTCACAGCCCAGAAAGCCAACCATATCATGGGCTGCACCAAAAGCGGTGTGGCCAGCAGGCCGAGGGAGGTGATTCTCCTCTGCTCTGGTGAAACCCACCTAAGTATTGTGTTGAGCTCTGGGGTCCTCAGCACAGGAAAGATGTAGACCCAGAGGAGGGCCACAAAAATGATCAGAGGGTTGGAGCACCTCTGCTGTGTGCAGGAAGGCTAAGAGTTGGGGTTGTTCAGCCTGGAGAAGAGAAGGCTCTGGGGAGATGTTATTGCTGTCTTTCAGTAATTAAAGGGGCTACAGAAAAGATGGGGAAGGGACCCTTTATCATGGAGTGTAGTGATAGGATGAGGGGTAATGGTTTTAAACTGAAAGAAGGTAGATTCAGAGTAGCTGTAAGGAATAAATTTTTTATTATGAGGGTGCTGAAACACAGGCACAGGTTGCCCAGAGAGGTGGTAGATGCCCCATCCCTGGAAACATTCAAGGCCAGGTTGAACAGGGCTCTGAGCAACCTGATCTAGTTGAAGATGTCCTTGCTCATTGCAGGGGAGTTGGACTAGATGAACTTTAAAGGTCCCTTCCAATCCAAGCCAGTCTCTGATTATGCTCTCAAAGAGCTGATTTGTATTAGTCTGCCACTCACTTGGTCCTCTTCATCTTGTCCTTTCTGTCAACTAGCTTAAGAGGTCAAGTTCCAACATTGAATTCAGAGAGATAACTACGAAATGGATGCAATTCCCATTTTTTCATATGCATGTTTGCTCAAAAGCAAACAGCAAGATGTAAATAACAGTGCAAGAACAACAAGAAGCTGAAGTTCATAGGAATAACAATCTTGTCCTAAATTTTAATGAATACCTGTTCCATGCAAAATGGATCTATCCTTCTGGATGCTGGGTCTAGAACTACAAGTCTTCTACCTCTACCTGAGCTTTTCTATCTGTGAATGTTTGTGTTAACGTTGGCTCTCATCTAGGATTGCGGGAAATGGAGTAATACCTACAAGCAGCAGCATCAGTATCTGAGCTGAATAAATTTAATTCCTGAAAGTCTTCGTTAGCATTGGGCAGTCAGGAATAGCACCACACCAAGTACAATGAGGCACCTGAGCTTTTACATATCATGTGATCATGTGAGTGAATCACAAGCTGGATAATTTGCCCATGGCTAACAAATTTATGCATTTCTGATGCATTTTTCCTGGAAGAGGTATGATATATCCTGTATGAGTGTGGAATGCTTTTTGTCTGAGTTAATGGGTAGGTATTGCTTGCATTTACATGCACTAAATCCAGGGACACTAGTGCTTTTATGTCAGATTCCTTTGGAAAAGCTAAATTGGCTTTTGGGACTAGATAGCTGTGGATTAGCTAAACCAGCTAATTGGAACTAGACAGTAGGTGGTGACTCTGTCATCACTTTCAGCAATTTTTTTGACAGTTGATAAACATACTTTGTTTATACTGGAGATGGGATGAAATGCTCTTGCGTATTTCAGGAACATGGACTTGATAGGTAGTGTTAATGAGGTCTCACAGGCCTGCCTGAGACAAGTGCTGTGCTTACATGGCCAGGAGGGGCAACATAAGGGAAAGAGCCAAGATCCAGGAATGGTTTACAGGCGAAACAGCTTCCCAGGGATTGCACCATTAATTATGAATAGGACTGGGCTGGTGTGTAGCTGTGCCAAGGCGAACTTAGCAGAATTGGCCTGTGAGGCCACGACTGACTCTTCTAGCCAGTAACTCCCATGGGCTAATGACATTTTTATTGTCAGACAGACAGAATATGCTGATGTAGGTTTGACAGTGAAGAGACGCTCGGGTTGCTTGTCTTTGCCTTCCAACTACATGCTAGCCAAACTCCAACGTGATGGTTTGCTAGCATTCAAAATTGTTAAAGATGGTACTTGGTTAGAGATCCTTGGGCTAAAATTGTGGTAGCTTAACCTTCTCAGGCTGCTTTCATACCTAACACCTATTTCTCCCTGTGTTCAGAGGGCCGCCACGTCCACGCCCTGCCCCAGTGGCTGGAGAGGCTGAAAACAAAGAGAACCACCATGAGGCCAGTGCTATGAGCCAGCAGCCACTTCGCCGTGGGTACAGGCGCCCATACAACTACAGGCGTCGACCTCGTCCCCCCAACGCTCCAGCTCAGGATGGGAAAGAGGTAAGCAAGCATGCTTCTGGCAGAGACCGAGTTCTGATGGGGTGAGTGCTTGAGACCACCTTTCCTGTGGGAGTTTTAACCAGTGTGGTGTTGGTGTCCTGGAGGAGTGCTGATGGTTGAAGGTAGCTGGTTTTGTTCCTTCTGACCTTTGAGAACGAGGAGTTTATCTTAAATGGAACCATCAGTGGGATGGGGGTTGCATCTGGATAGCTCTTATTTGGGGTCAGACTGTAACAGATACCTCTGAAATGGAGGGGAGGAGTTGTGTGTTCCAGCTTCCTCAGACCTTCAGTCTGTATGTAGTAGAAAACATGGATTTGAAAGCTCCAGATCCATTTCCTGACCTGCTTGAACCAGATGATTTCAGGGAACTGTTTGTAAACAAGATTATTTTTTTTACCTTAATGAGGAAAGACCTTCTTATTCTGTATGGACTTGAGGTGGTCACCTGACATTATCTGCTGTGTAATACGCTAAAGTTTAAGTATTTCCCATAATTAATATTTCTTTTCTGAGGATTTGTCTTGATCATTTAAACACCTGGGTTATGCTGGCCCTACCACAGAAGAGAGGAAGGGGCTGGAGGTCAGTCTTTGCCTATAACAAAACTTTATTGTGTCTCAGACAAAGGTGACTGAAACACCTGCTGACAATCCTGCTCCAGTGACCGAGCAGAGTGGTGCTGAGTAACGTCCGGCTCCCCAGGCACCTTTACCATCCCTCAGGTAAAGAATACAGACAGCTCCTGTTCTGCTGAAGCAGTGTTGTGTATGCTTTCTAGGACTTGGGCTCTGGCCTTATCTATGGCTGCATATTTATCATAACTTCTGAGAGTGCCCTACAGACAAACCGAGAACAGTCTGCTGCTTTTCTCTTCTTTCTCTCCTCCACCTCTGTGTTTGTATTTGTCACAAAGTAAATTTTGCTTTACAGTTCTGATTTTTCAGGGAGATCTATGTGGTCTATTTAGCAATAACATCTGCTGATGATGTAATGTTTTGTTTTAGGAAGATACTGTACTCTCAATTTATGGAGAGGATAAGCCAGTCATACTTATACTGTCTTACTATCATAACAGCTCCCTCTCCACCTGACATCTCAGCTCTTCAGCAGGAAAATGAAACTTAAACTGCCTTTTTTTAAATTTGGCTCTTCAACAGGTGTCCTAAAATACAACTTAAAAGTAACACCAAAGAAACACACAAGCAATAAATTGTCAACAGTGATGACTAAAGTGAAGATTTGAAACATCAGAACTTAAAAGAAAAAAAATATACCAGCAGCTGAGATCCAGGGAACGCCTGCAAGATAGATGCATGAAGAGAAAAAGAGAGCGAGATTCAGAAAGAGCAACCTCCCCAGTTTCAACAGCAACTGTGGGGTTTTGGTTTTTTTTTTTTAGAATTTCACTGTTTCGCTAGTATTGAATTTTTCAATTTTTCTTTTGGTATCAAACTGAAAAGGGAAAAATAACCCAACCAAAGAACTGAAATTAAAATCAAATGCTTTTTTTATTGGATGCTGGTGCTAAACCTCCCAGGTGTGATGAGTTTTTTTTTTTCTGTGCCAGTCCTGTTCACTGCAGGACACGGGGAGGAGAAACTTCCGCTTTCCTTGGTAAGATCTATTTGAAACTGTGCAGCATGGGTGACGTTCCTCACAAATAAAAGTGATTTCAACTACCAAAAAGAAAAAGGTTTCAGTATGTTTGTTCATGTTTACTTTTGAAATAATTCATTTTTTAATCTTGATGCTTCGGCATTTATATGTGAAAATGAGAGCTGCCTCTTTAGTATGTGATATATCTTGTCTAAAACCATGCTGGATGATACATCTGCAATGACATGGCTAGGTTAGGTTACTTCAATCCAAAACTTCCATGAAGAAATGTGCAATAGGGCTATACCTACTCTGTCCCCTCTGCTATTCTGGTTGAAATGACGTTAATGGTTGTGTTTTTCTGTTAACATCTTGTGGCAGGAGTTTGGGGTATTTGGAGGGGGTTCCTGGGATATTTGAGCAGCTCCTCTGCTCAAAGTGGGCTTAGTAACTCTTCCTTTATTCAGGCTTCTGTTCCAAATAACAGCACTATGTTCTATTGGCCTCCCCACTTTTCCTTATTTGAAACCAGTAGAATATCTGTACCTGTGCATCTTGTGTTAATGAGCCAAGTACTTAGCTGTCTTAGTAATGTGTGTGTGTTTCTAACGTTCCTCCCTAAAACTTGGATGTCTTACAAGTGTTATCAGTCTACTTCCAGCTGTTGAATATGGGTGTGTTTCTTCAGCTATCTTGTCCTTCATTTTCTAGTCCAACACTTCTCATGTTCCTGTCTAGCTGTTGCTGTTATCCAAACCTTAGATAGTATATTTGTTTCCTTAAAACACATCTTTCAGTTCTTAGCTATGCATTCTTTACCCAGCCTTTGCTGAGTAACTTCATGTAAAATCCGTTGGTCTGGAGCAACACTGTAACTGTACACATGTGGAACTAAATGGGAGCAGATTCTGGGCAGGTGCTTTCTGTCTTTGACTCTTCTAGTTTCCATGTTCTTGCACATTATTAATTAGAAGTTATACAAGGTTCTCTGGAGACATGCTTCCTCATGTTAACTCCTCCAGAAGTGAGAAGTAGGGGGAGTGTAGGGGATAGTTGCACTCCAAAGCACTTTGCTTCCAGCTTCTGGGAAGGTGAGGAATGGCCCTGGCACCCTGTTGCCTTTGCCTTGGCAGGGGTAGAGGAAAGTTTAGTGATTCACGAGTTGCACTGCCCACAGCTGACTCTGGTGGGGATTTTCTGCTAGCTTTTCTAGTGAATTAAGAACTTTTAATGACGTGTGAGGCAGAAGCTACAGGCTTGGTTCAGGAAGGAGAATGCTTCCTTGAGTACATACTGGATCACTGACCCAGCAGCTCTGAGAGTACTTTGGTAGAAGGATTGCTGTGAGGCAGTTTCAACACCAGTAAGCTGTAGGCTGGGAAAAATGTTGAGGTGGATGCAGTGGTATTAAAGGTGTTTCCTTGGAAGATGGAAGAATATGACTCTTCTGATACAGAATAAAATTTAATAAGAAGAAAAACATAAGTAATGCACCTTTTAAAAATTCTTAAGCAGGATAGTCCTTAGTAGACTTCAGTTGTGTTCAGAACTAAATCAGCAGATTGGGGTGGGGTTGGCAGTTTTGTCATCATATAAACAGGTGTAAGATATAAATACTGAAGCATTACTGCAGAATTTATCATAAAAAGTATTTGAACTGTCTTCAGTTTTTCAGAAGTGGTTTTCTTAGAGTATGATTTGATAAGCCAAATAGAATTTACTTAATCTCTGCAAAATGTAGGTCAGATTGAATCAGTTTAACAAGAGTACCTAACTAGCCATCTTTATTTTATGAAAGGAGGAATCAAGTGAGCGATGCAATTAGTGTCTTAGTGTCTAGTTCTGTTTCTGTTATTTCAGTCCTACCTTTGTGATAAGAAGAATCTTTGCAAAAAAAACAGAAGCTCGTGACTGACATAACCTTCATCCCTGAATTCTTGTTTATGAAAACACGGGCTCAGCTCTATCAGTTCTTAAGCACTCGCTTGAAATTATGTTTCAGATGTCTCAGGCTGGGCATATATTGTTCCCTTATTAGGCCAAGTGTTCTCTGGTTAACAGAACTTTGGCTGAAGAAATATAAAACTGTTGCTCAAGAATGAGGGTCAGTTCTCCTGGCAACTGTGGTGCTTGTGTATCTGTAAATAAGGCTGTGGGTTGTTTGCTGCAGGCAGAACTCCAGATGAGTGCTTAGTTTGTGTTTTGGTGTGGGGTTTTTTTATAAAGATTTAGCTACAACGATTTTGAATTTGCAGAGTAGTTATACCTGCTTAGAGCCACTGTTTCTGTGCTATGTTGATTCTCTCATTCCAGCATTCTTCCCTTTCATGGGCACTTATAACAGCCTACGCTTGGAGTGGCTTACACGTTTATAGTGTACTGATTTTACAGTGTTTTCGTAATACTCTTGTCTGCTTGATTCTAACCAGGCTTTTTGCTTGTGAAGGCTGCGGTCTACTGTTACTTAACTGCAAAAAAAATTCCCTGTAGCTTGAGATCTGTTCAGGATGATAAAGAAGGGAGGAAGAAAGTTCTGTTGGTGTTTGTGTACTGTTTTATTTAAACATAATAGTCTTTCAATGACAAGAAGTTCACCAATTCAGAGGAATACATACCAACATCTGCATTGAACAATATCGTGTCCATGTGCAGCCACTTCTATGGGAGGACTGTACACAGGTGCAACAGATTCCCTGGAAGTGAAAACAGACTTTCTGCTGCAGTTGGAAAAACTTTGGAAACAAAGCCTGTGCTACACAGAACTTGATTTCACATCCCTTATGGCAAGCTATATGTGTACTTACTTCACGCTGGGGTGCATGCTTGAGACTCCTTCATGGAATACTAAAATGGACTTGCATATGATCTGGATAGCAAGGGTTGTAATAACCCTAATAACTCTAGAACTAGTTTTCAAACTCTTCAATTTGTAGATGCATGGAAACATCTGGTGAAGATGGAAAACTGTACAAGTCTGACACTTGGTTATTTGTTGTGGCTTTTTAGAATGTCTGTAGATACCAGGTTCAAAGCTATGGTCATGGACATTATCCTTTCTGCTAGTTCGGGTTTTTTTGACTGGGATTATGTAGAAAGGAAGTGTACTCTCTGTAGACATACTTGCAGGGCTGGGCCGTGGGGTGTGTGTAGAACAGCTGCATGAGCCAAGTGGCAGTGGGACCCTTGGTCAGACATAAAGGAGATGAAAAAGTCTTGGAGGCCGTGTCAAGCAAGTGGCAGCTGTGCTGTTGACAACAGTGGAACAATGTGGCTGTGACTTCATTTTGAGCCTTGCAGCTAGGTTTTGATGCACTGAGCAGAAGATTGATCCTGATGACTTAATACCACCAGTTGATGAGATGAATAATTACTTGTAATATCTCAAAGTTTTACAAATGTGATAGGAAAGACCTACAGAAAGTAGATATTGAGTTCAGAGTTTCATCATATTTTCTGACTTTCAAAATGCATCATTCTTCAGTGCTTGGCTATTAAACTAGAGTTTTGACTTGTAAATTGTGACTTTTGTAGGACTGCATAGGGCCTTAGAATTAGTCAGGAATTCTAAGGATGATTTGCCATAAAGTACATGTCTGTAGAACAGAAAGACAGCTGTTCTCAAAAAAAAAAGTGTGGGTTAAATGTGTGAAGATCCACACAGTCTTAGCTCAGATAAGCAGCTTGTGTTAGTGTCAGCCTAATGTGTCTTGCCTTGTATCCTCTTCAGTCACTATTTGACTTTTTTGAAGAGACACAGAGAATTTTCTAATTACCGGCAGAACTCAATCTAAATGTAAAATTACATGTCACCTCCAAAACCTTGTCATCTTACTGCCTGTATCTTCCCTGATCCAAACCCAGACCACTTACAGAAAACCAGGCAAGTAGACAACAGTTTATCAGAAACAGGAAAAAAAGAGGGAATACACTAATATTTTTTTATTGAAAAAATGTAAACGTGTTTTACAGTGGTGCAGAAGCAGGGAGATCGGAGCCAGTGCTATGAAAAAGAAATCAGTGTTAATAGAATGTACACAGCAAAGGCACTGCCACTTTCATGCTGATAGTGCCTAGGTGATACAGTCCTTGCCCTGAAGGAAATGACTGACTCGGAAGGAATGTTGTTCACCCCCTTTGTTCTCAATAAGCTCTTTGCTTCTCTGCTAAGAATGCCAGCAAAAGCCATTATTTTAATGCTAGTAGGTGTAAATAGGGCTGTTACAGAGTCAATCTCCACACACATTTCAGGAAGAATTGCTGCACTGAGCTGGAAGTTTTGAAACAATTTGTGCCAACAAGTAAACCAGCTAGCATGATTTTTCTTCTTGAGCCTTTCTGAGAGAACCTGTGTTGGGGCAGTAATCAAGAATTAGAAAGCACTAGTATTAAATGAAATAAATATTCTAAATGGAGCTCTAGGCCATGTTCTGATAAGGATCAGTATGCTTAAGTGGACATGTGAAATGTCCACAGCCCCTTCTTAGTTGTTTTACTCTGGAGAGAAGAGCACAGTTTCAACCATCAGAATTTCCAGGAGGCTGTATATTGGCCTTTCAGTGAAGTCACATCTGCTTCCTGGTGAGAAACTGTTAATGCGAACTCTATAAACAGGGCTGAGAATCCAGGCAGCTCTGAGTGCAGTGGCACCTGAGCTGCTTAGACAAAAAGGGTCCGCAGGACACCTTGCACACTTCTCTTTTATAGGAAAAGGAGTACTTAGACATTCCGAAGAGGAATGTGCTTTAAGTTGTGCCGTTGTAGGCTCTTCAGACCACACAAGGTCTGGCTCACTGATGACAGTTCACTCCTAGACATTCAACTCTCCGGTTAAGTACATAACTTAAGATCAGTAAATTTTGTTGTGACAAGGATGGTATTAAACACCAGAGCATCTACCATCCTTAATAGGGTTTTTTTAAGGGTCAAGTCTACAAGGTCTTAGCTCAGCTTCACATGCTTCTTGATTAAAGCCGATATCCAACGTTGGAAATAAGACTTGGCCTATCTAATCATGCAAAATGAACCAGGGTAAATAAGAGTCCAGTATCTGTCCAGGTGTCTGCCATAACAAGAAATAAAAGAATTTCAGCTGATTTCTGACTGTTTATAAAGCATTACGTAGTGGAGGCTATTTAATGAATAACTATGGAAATGGAATTCATCACCACTCTGGGCATAGAGTGGCAGTGCACTGGTGCCCCTTTCTCTTGCTCCTGTAGCTGTTTTGCAGAAGCATGCTTTGCCTTAAATACACGTACAGGAACCACTTGCAAATAACTGCTGTACTGCCTCAGATCACAGGAAGTGGAGTTCCCTGAGGACAAACGTAAGGTTGTGCTGCTGCTGCTGCCACTTCTCATGACAGAAATCTTGAGTGATGAAGGATTAAGAGATGTGAACCCAGCAATTTGGATTACTGTTACAGTTTTAAATTACGGGAGCACTAGATGGGGCTGTTGCTCCACATACTTTTTACTGAAATTTTATGACACACCTCAAGGAAATCGAGGTGTTTCAGTGTGGGCTATTTTCTGCTGCAAATCTAAAGCATCGAGCTGGGCTGAAATGTGGTAGTGAGATGCATGAAACAGAACTCACAGTCCCCACAAGCAGATCCTCAAGTTAAAAAATAAAAGAAGAAACCCAACCTAAAATTAACACAGATTGTTTTAGTAGCAAAAGTATAATCGTCTTGCTGTATTGTTTTTCAAGGAGTGTGCACTGTTCCTAAGCTGGTACATATCCTTAATTCATCCAGTTATCATCACACAGCTGGGAACAAAATCTTGGGGAGCAAGAGGCAGACCGAACCCCGTTCCCCAGGCAGAATCCACGCTGTGCTCCCAGTTCTTCCCACATTCTATCCCTACACCCTTAGTCGTTTGTGGTCATGTGTGTGAGAACTTTCAGGAGCAGAAGGGTGGCAGAGATGACAAATGTTCACAGGTGTCCCTAGCACCCCTCCTGTGAACTCCTGTTCCTTCACAGCAGGGTGGTCTGGTGCCAGTGTAAGCACTTGTCCTTGAGGCTAAATTGGTGCTCGATGGTTAATTGCCCATTATTTGCTATTTGGTGAGGAAGCAATTAAGGCGCTCTTAATGCTGTCTCTTGATGGTGCTGTAATGCCTTATGCCTCAGCAGTTATACAGGGAAAAAAAAAAAAAAAAGTTTTTTTCCAAAATCCAAAAAGGAAAGCTTGTAAAGTGATGAGACTTGAGGACTAAAAAAAGTATTACCAGATGCCATCTCAAGAGGTATGCTGTCTGATTGTGGACCTTCCCTCTGAAGAAACACAGTGTTGTGACAGACTCTCTTCTTGTAGCCTTCCAATCACAGGAAATAGGATGCAACTTCCTTGAATGTCACAATTAATTAAAAGACGTGTTTTTTAGAAGTGTTGGTTTTGAGCAGTATTCTCTGTTCTCAGCGGGACTCCCGGATTAAAAAAACAATTTTTTTTTTTTTTTTTAATTAAACACTGGCCACTTGGTTTAAATGAAAACTGAACTTTCTGGAAAATCTACAGTCAATCTATACTTAGCGCTTTATGTGCCACAGGTCACCCAAAATCACAAAATTCAGTACACTCCTACACAAGCTGTTAAAAGACAGTGCCTCTTCAAAGAATTTTGGTTTTAATACAAAATTAAAGAGTGAAGACAATGCAGTCAAAGGTACCAAAGTGACAACGTGCCATTAAAAATCCTCCAGAGATTAATCAAGGTTTCCTTGTGCTGCTCTGACATTTTGCATTACTTTGGCTGGAAGGAATACCTACCTGCTGGAAAGTCAAGAGTACAGAGTTTGTTCTTTACTATTTGTACCTCTAGAAACACTTGGTAGCATTGGGGGGAGGGGGGAGAGTGAAATTACATATTTTTCACTTCTGTGGGATAAACATTCTGTCTGTGAATGAAGATCAGCCAGTCTCAAGAGGATACATAGTCTACAAATTAAGAAACTTTTGACAGATCGAGATGTGATTTAAATCATTAAATGCCTCTTCAAAGGATATGGAGAAAGGAGATGGAGATGCTCTCGCTTCCTACATGGTGCATACTTTCTAGTTAAAAGAGACTGATTTTAATGAAAGGGAAGATCTTTCTCAAAACTTGCAATGACTTCCATCTCAGATAAAATACTATTTATGCATTAACTACAGGCCACAAGGTGGTGCTCCTAATCAACGTCTTGACTACAAAAGAAAAGTAATTTTTTTTCTTCCTTTTTTAATATTGCACAGTAGGAACATACAGAGAAAAGCATGTTTTCTAGCATGGTTAATTTGGCTGGTGCAGCAGTCCCACAGAGAACACCACACACAGTGCAGTCTATAATGGTAAACAGTTTTTTCTTAAATGAGACATGGTACCTTCAGAAGGTTTGAGAAGAACAATCTTTCTGGGAAGACCAGTCCAAAAAAATGGTTAAAAATCCAAGGAAACAATGAACCAACTACAGATGAGTTATCTGAATAACAAAATCTATAACAGAACACCTAGTTGGCAATCCCACATCAAACTAAATGTATCTATCTGCAAATCTAGAATTTCACTTGGTTTTGATTCGGAGAAAGATGTCATTTTTCAGTTTTCCCTGAAAGGCATGTGCTGGTGCAATACCACTACAGTGGTCCACTGCAGCTCCCCTGCTCCCTGACCCCCATTTGTTCAGGTGTCAAAGAATTCCACGTATATTGATGACAAAGTGAGTATGATCTTCCAGGAAGAAAGACACAGAGGGCAAGTAACTTCAGTATGCACACACACTACAAGGATTACTGATGATCATCATAAAAATAGACACATTGTTACCTTTTACCTTCAACAATATAAATATACATATGTATAATCTCATTAAAATACTTCCATAGATGCATACACATAAGTAGTTCCTAGCAAGATGAAAGCCAATCCATTTTCCACAGGGTTTGTGAAACCTCCATGGCTGGAAAACAAAGACTGGAATAATTTTCCAAGGGATGTAGTTCTGCAAGTAGGACTGAATTAAATTTATTCCTTTTCTTGCTCTTCACCTTTAGATTCCATTAGCACCTCTTGCCATTTCTTCTCCACCTCTTCTTTGCAACTCAGGAAGGCATCTTCCAAACGCCTCATGGAGTTGGCCAGGTCTGGGTTGGTACGTGTGACTACCATGTCATACGCCATCCAGGTTGCCTGCACTACAAACCCAACAGATACTACTAAACCAGGAATTTTGGCTAAATAACAGCAATGGCTGACTCAATAAATGAATAAAGGACATGAATTACTATCAGTTCAGATCTTATGTCAGAGAAGGCTTGCTGTAAAATAAAGTGGAAACTGCCAGTAATGCTCAAGATTAAATAAACTGTTGAGTATTAGTTCTTTATAAATGTCTCACAATACTTTAGAATGGACGTAAATGGATGTAAATTACAAAAGGGAGATAGGCACTACCTAAAAATTACAACAAAACAGGTAATAAAAAAAAAGGTTCAACAGACTGTTCTAAAATAAATAAACCAAAGAATCCTCTCTCTATACTAGTTACAGTCAGAAGGCTTGTGTTAGGGGAAGAAGAGTAAGATCAAGGAGGCTGCAGCATAGAGATGAAAGATTTTAAGAACAACCTAAATAATTAAACTGATTTTGAAATAATGAGTATCTGATAAAGCAGAGCAACTACTTTTAGCTCTTATTTCATACTTTTTTGTTTTACCATAACTTGACCATACTTTTCTCAATGGCACTCATAAATTGTTTAATTCCAAATAGTATAATTAACAGTTTTCCATCTATTCTTGTTTCCATCTATTCTTGTTAGTTGCACACAGTTTCTGATAGAATTGTTACAGAACATGGAGAGAAATACGCAGTCCTCTCCATACATACAGGACTAAGATTAAATTTGCAGAGGGGTCTTTATTGTCACTGAGGAATTAAACACTTCATGCACTGACCTGAGAGGTACTACGTATCCCACCATTTTCAGAATTAAATCTCAGTTTACATACTATGTTTTTACAATTGTACATTAAATACCTTAGTATTATTTGTTTTCAGCCACCACTCTGAACTAAGCATCCCTATTAATTTTCAATTCTGAGCCATCTGAAACTTCTAGATTATTTGCACACTTTCTCCCAACTAAGATTAGGGCATTAGTTGATGGTGATTGTTTCCACTAACATTTCTATCACACAGAAGTTCACAGCAATAAATATAAATAATAACTTTTCAGTCTCTTCGCTCTAGTAGACAAATAGGTATCATTCTTAAAGACCTATACCTGTTTGCTTTTCCATTTCCTCCAGAAGTTTTTCTAAGTCCCCGTTCAGGTCCTCCACCAACTTTATCATGTTATCATAGTTTCCTTCCTGAGATTTTGATTCGGCCATCTACAAGGAAACCAGGAATTTCATACTTTATTTTAAAGTGAGTTGATTTTCACAGCTGAAAGTAACATTGCAGTAAATTTAAAAAAAAAAAAAGTATCTAAATATTCAATTTACACATGAATTCATTAAGAATCTGACCTTGAAGTTACTGGTCATCACCTGTATGCTGCATACTATTTTCAATTAATTTTGAAATTGTTAAGTAAAGAATTACACTCAGATATGCTGTGTTTGTGCCAAATGATGATTTTGGCATCAGTAATAACAAAGATCACCATGTCAAACACTTCATTAGAAAATTTCATCCATTATCCTGTTACAGTTGTCTTTAAGCTCTTCTCTCAAATACTCTGATGTAGGGCAATTCCTAATTTTTAAAGTTAGTTGTAAAATCTCCATTTGCATCCAGTATTTCACACTTAGATGCTACCGCTGGGTAACTCCATGCACCAAGTTCTGTCGCTATATAAGCAGGTAAGTGCTTATGATTTACTAACCTCTGCTTAAGTTGTAGGTAGTGAAACCACCAATGGATGAGATGGAACTATGAAGAAGATGAAGAGCATCACTGTAGTGACTATACACATCACAGAGGAGGCAGAGATTTGTCAGCTTTTTTTTTTAATGCATATGATTTCTCAAACTCGATTAGTGGGTATCCATTTTTTTTACTGCTGATACATGTGGAAGGAATGCAACACTATATAACGGCTTTACAGCATTTTAACGCAATGCCAAGCCTTATCACGAAGCCGGGTGTTCAAGAGCCTCTGCCCACAACCGTGAGGTAACCGTGTGCCGGCAACCCCGTTACCGCAGAGCCCCTAAGCAAGCCCAAGCCCCTGGCCGTACATGTCGGGGCGCTCTGGCTGCCCACCCTTCCCAGCCCTCACCCCGCTCCTCCTTCGGGGAAGCTCCTGCCCCCGTCCCCGCCGCCGAGGCGGGGTGTCCCCTCGGCTGCCCGCCCCTGACGCCGTGGCAAGGCTGGTCGCACCAGATAGCCTGTCATGTCGGGAATCGCCCTGAAAGTAACCCAGAAATTAACGTCTTGAGCCCAAAGTTTGAACGTTGGGTGGTGCTTCTGCTCCCTCTTTGTGGGGGTCCATCTCCCTGCCTGCATGGTGGAGACAGACTTAAGACCGGGGCCTGTAGTGACAGGACAAGGGACAACAATTTTAATCTAGAAGAGACTAGGTTTAGGTTGACCAGAGAGGTTGTGGCTGCCCCCTCCCTGGCAGGGTTCAAGGCCAGGTTGGACGGGGCTTTGGGCAACCTGGGCTAGTGAAAGATGACCCTGCCCATGGCAGGGGGTTGGACAGGATGATCCTTGAAGGTCCCTTCAAGCCCAGACTGTGCTCTGACTCTATGGTCTTCATCATATCAAGAGAAGGTGTTTGCACCGGTAGGCAAAGAAGGGTTAGACATTTTCCGATGACCAAGCAACACAACTCAAAGTTTGTCAAGAGTCTGCTGATACTAGGAGTTATCTGGTCTATAGCAGAGTGAGAAGCAAGTACCTTCTCTGAATTACTGACACCCCAAATTGTGTCCCATTCCAGATCTCTTGTTCTCTTTTTCATCCACACGAACTTAGTCTTGTTTTTAAATGATTGAGTATATTAGTATTCTCATCATGCCTGAAACTTACTCATCTCTTGCTATCACCACTCATTTCACTGCCAACTGAGTTACTGGTTGGAAGATGGCAATCTGTCTTCAAAAAACCCCCAAAATTAAGTATTTATTCAGCCAAGTTATATGAATGCTGCAGAATTTATCACAGCATTGTGTTGCTAAAGTTCTGCAGGAGTTCAAAAGCAGTTGAACAAAATCCTCCAAGGTGTATGAAAGACAAAATTATATTTGGCTAAATCTTGAACCACAGGCTGGTGGAGGCTGGAGAAAGTGTTAAGGGAAGCATCATTTTATGGTGTTACCATCTTTCATTTCCCTAGACCCTCTCACTGCCAGCTCTCTGAGGACAGGACTCGGCTGATGGACCCTTCGTTCGAGGTGACAGAGGTGGCACAGTCATTTCTTAGGTAACCCCTTTAAGCTGTCTCCCAGATGCTGCCTCCCCTGTGTACATGTGTGTGTTATGTGGTTAGGAAGCTGATTTTTGGTCTAGTGCTGGTGTTTTTTAGTACTGCTTCATTACTCTGAAAAACTGGGCAGCAGATATTGTGTGCTTGTGCGTGTAATTCCAGTAGCTTAGCAGCCACCTTGCCACTGCATAATAATAAATGTGCTAGAATCTATTTCCAGTGACACTGGCAGACAGCAGCATGTTTTGTTTCAACATGACTTGGTTTATTTGTGATTCTTCTCTACTGTAATTAGGACACAGCAATGTGTTAGAGGGTGAATTACAGGTGTAAGAATTATGCAGTGGAATAGTTCTTGAATGCATTTTTATGTAACAGTGATACAGCTCTTGGTGATACATGCTTTCTAGTTTAAGGTCTCTATGGGCATCTTTTCCAAGGGGATATCTGGCTTCTCGGCTTCTTTTTTGTATGATACCCTGCAATTTATTCCATCCTGAGACTGGGTGTTCAGGTCACTATAGCTCTGTTCACGAGCTTCTAGGTTTTGCCAAGAGGGGCTGTTAGGTTCTTACTGAAAAATGGAAACAGTGTAAAAATGCAGTGGCAAAGAGCAGGAACTTAAAAGGAAAATTTATATATTAACAAAAAGAACATAAAAAACTGAAAGAGAAAAGGTAAAATAACAGGAAGATGCATACATATTGTGCTCAGGACGTTGGTTGCTCAGGACAAAAGCAGTTAGGAACTAGGCAGATCAGAACTGAATGCATATGATAGGTGCTGTACCTAACTTAGAGTCTAACAGTTCATCTGTCAGCCCTGGAGTTCAGGGAGAGGCTGTGGCCAAGCTACCGGGTTACACTGAGGATAAGTACTAACTGTGGGAGCCCAAAGAGCTCCTGCTCAGGGCAGTTACTGCTTTGAAGAAGAGGAAGACAACAGAATTTAGCCCAAATGTATGGTATCTAACTTCTGACATTTGACTAAGACATGTAACTCAGGAGCTAGATTACCATTTGGGCCTGTGACGTCAGTGTAGGGCAAGAGGATTTTAGTACTTGGAATTGCTTTACAGAAATTCTTGTGACCTTGTATTAACTATGCAGAGAACCTAGGGCAGCTATGACCTTAACTTAGTTTTTCAGCTGTTGAATGAATCCCAGCTTCAGGGCCTGGAAAATCTGCCAGAGAAACCGAAGGGGAAAACTGTACTGTAGCCTACTTAAGTCTGTACTATAGCCTACTTAAGCATCTAACCAACCTTCAGGATCTTTCTTTGAGAAGAGACGGCTGACCAGACCAGTGACTGCGTGAAACTGTGCAAATGAAATATCCATTTAGATTTAGGAAAAGAGTTGGAAATGATAAGATCTAATTTGGTAGGAAAGTGAGGGGAAAAGACTATTATTAGATGTGCCTAACGCTGAATAGAGGAAGTGCTGGCAAATTACTGGACTTTCAACTGTGTGAAGAAGATTGATGCATAATCCTTAAGTCATTTCATTTTTATAAGTAGAAGCTCTGTTTTTTTTTTCTTTATTTCTTTTCATATAATGCCACCCCCTCCTAGCCTTTGTGCCTTTGGAAATTTTAAATAACTAAAACTGCAGGGATGAACTGAAAATCACACTAGAACTACCATTTTCAAGGAAAATCTAAATATTAAATAGGCAAATTAATTGTTCTCAAGTCAGAAGACCTGCTATCTTGGGAGGCAAAGCTGATGAGGCAGAACAGACTTGGGATAATGATGGGAATTTTTCTTTCATTTCTAGATCATTTGTTCTGATTCTTACCCCATTTGGGGATGAATGCCTGGCTTGCAAATATAAAATAGGTACTGAGCCTTTCAACCTCTGTGGGTTTAGGCTGATGGAAAGATAGGTCACAGTCTATCAGCTATAAGCCACAGTTTTAAACCTTACATTAGAATGTGAAAGTAGTCAGAGACCTTACCATCTCTAATTTATCACAGAAAAAGTGAATACCACAACGACATTTAAGAAGGCAATCCTTTCGTCAGAAGGGTTTTTCTGGTCCAGAAGCAGTTACCTGGAGTATGCTTACCTTTTGGAAGCTGAGCTGCAAAATTAGCAGCTGTGTTAATGGCTCAGTGCATAGGACAAAGACTGAATAGTTGAATTGCTGCTTAGGCCCAGAAACATATCTTGAGGCCACTGAGCAGCTGCTGTGTGGTTTGGATGGTTGCTAGGTGTGCTATAGCTGTGTTGGAGATAAAGAAGATGTTTTTGTTAGTAAGACTGCCAGTCTACTGCCTTTCAGTGCACCTAATCATACTTGCTTAAGTTAAAAACCGAGAAGGGCAGAGCCATTTAAACATGCAGTGTTTTCTCTGTGAATGTGCACACAATGAAGGTCATAGAGCAGGAGAAGTTTATTTTTCACAGGACAAAACACGACAATAAATGTCTGCTATTCCTTACCTAAACAGGGGGAGAGTCTTGCGGATCAGTGAGGAAGTTTATGTAATCTGTGGCCTGAACTCTGAACCGTTAAAATATCTTCTCCAACCAGTCAGACTGGGAGCACAGCAGAGAGATTGGGGAAACTAAAGCAGCAGGTTGTTGTTTTTGCATATGCATACCTTGAATATTAACCCTTTGCCTTCCCACTCTTTCTTCTACAGTCGGGAGCTGTGGAAACTGTGAAACGAGCAAAAGGAGGAAGATTTTCAATTATCATATTTTTAAACAGGAATCTGAATAGTTTCCCCCAGGTGCCCTGGAGGAAGGTGCCTGTGGAACGTAACATATTTCAGTCAAGAACTTGTTTAAATGAGGAACTGTCCTTTGCATTTTATCTACTTTTTAATGGGGATGATGTATAAGACAGATCCCCTGCTCCTTTATGGAGAAAATACTGCAGAGAATCAATGCAAGTTTGTACCAGAATAAAGCTGAAACCAGTCTGAGCCCAGACTCTGCAGCTGTAGTGATCTAACTCAAGATCATTTTCAGTCTAGAAGATATCCCTCCTGGTTTCTCAGGGGATTAAAGTCCTCACCACAGAGTTATTTCACTAATACTGTTTTGCCCATTTCTGCCAGTCTCTGTAGAGAGATCAAGCAATGAAGAAAACCGCTCCTGGTTTTCACTATTTTGCACATGTGGACAGTAAATCCCAGCTGGAAGAATAATCCCAGAGAGAAGTTTAGGGTGTAATGGTGTAAAAATATATTGCTATGCAGTCTCTCTTATGGATTAATTAACTATTGTGTTTCAGTATCTAAAGCTATTGCCTCTACCGCAGCTAAAACTTTCCCACAACAAAATTATATATGCAGCACCAAAGTGTTAACAGGAGTAGGTTAGTTTTGCTCAAACACTTGGCAGAGATCATATCATCTTCTACATCTTCCCAAAGCTACCTGTGTCCTGTTGTTGATTGTGAAATGAACTTTGCCTCTGAACGATAGGTCTCATGTTGTTTCCTCTTGTAATGCAACTGCCTCTCACTTGCGTGAAGTAAGTAAGCAAATAATCTTGTACAGACTCATATAACCAGGAATCAGGAATCCGAAACTCTTAACACAAGATTTTTCAGTGATAGGGGAGGGCAGGCCAACAGCTGGGACTTGCATTACACAGGTTAGGTGGGAAGAAAGTCCCCAGAACTAAACCGGTGAGGAACTGAGGTGCAAGAAGATTATGCCACACAGCTGCTGAGGACTGAAGGCACCAGCAGAGCACAGCAGTGACCCCAAGGGCATCATAGCAGTTAAAGGTCACGGGGAAGGTTCAGGAATATTATCCCACCTGGTTGGGGTGCTCAGGATGGATTTTGAAGGGGTTTTGTAAGTGAGGTTAATTGCCAGGGCAGTGTGGAAGCTCTGGGCTGGAGAGGTGGGAGGTAAAGGTCAGGGGAGAGCTAATGGCAGGACTGGGAGAGCAGGAGGGATACAAACGAGCAAGGAAGAATGTGAAAAAAGCCTGCATTGCTGCTCTCTGTTGTAGTGTGTTTTGGTATTATTAATCTTTTCTCTCTTTCTTCATTTGCAGATTGTGTTCCTGGTAGGAAGCTTTTTCAGCATCTGGAGTCTTAGGGGATTTTACTGTTCCAAGAACCCATTTTTCCTAAATGTGAACCTGTAATCTGAAGTGTATTGTTTCTGTTTATCACATTAGCCTATCCCTCTTGATCTGTGTTTGCCTGTCTTTCAAATTATGATCCAGGTCCCCGCCAGAGGACTCTTTGCTTTGTCTGTCTCTGTCATCAGCAGGTGAGCAGCCGGTTGGTGGAAGCCAGGCAGACCCGTTTCACAAGTGTGTGCCTACCTGTCAGCTCACGTGTTGGACATACATGCAAGGGACCTCCCTGGAGAGACAGCTGAGAAGACCTTGAGGAGCAAAGAATTGAAGCTGGGCAGGACTGGGGCTAGGAAAATCAGTGAGAAGGAACTTAGTCATAAGAATTACAACCTCAGAAGGTAACTATCAGCGTTACCAGGAGTGGCCTCAGACAAACTGGGAACTGGCAGCAGGTGAGCTTCAGGAAAAGACTACCGCAGGGCAAGAGAAGTGCTGTAATTCAGGTAAGTAAGAGAAAACACTGCTGGAAGATTAGCTAATGAATATTATGAATATTTAGGTTTTTTGAAAAGATTTTTATTGGCATAAAAGTGACCCGAGCTGTATAGCTGCACCATAAAGTCTATACCTCTGTGCCTGTACTTACTGCTTGTACTGAAGTTACTTACAGTAATAAATTTCTGTGATCATAATGGAATTGGGGTCTGAGTTAAAAAAAAAAAAGAGATACATCCTCTACACACAGGTTGAATTAAGTGAAGTAACTTCTAGGCACATTTTAAAGAGGAAGAAAATAACAAAGGAAATAAGATTAGTATAAAATTAGTCTCGGTTCACTGAAACAATGCAAGGCGATGCTATTCTGTAAGTATAAGTATGTCCAGTATTTGGTTAAGTAACACATGCCTAGGGCTGGATTCAGAACTAATTAGCATTTGACTTCCATCAGCATTGCTTGATTGTAAGGAAGCTAACTTTAATCCAAAGTAGTGCAGGTATCTAGATTTTTCTACGTGTCGACCTGTTTGCATGTATCTGTGTGTTTGTGTGCATGAGCTGCTGATTAAATGATAAACAAAATCTTTGTTAAATGCACCAAGAAAATCCAGAAGTTGAGAAGTTATGTAGCTAAAGTTGTGTACACAGCTTCAGCTCAGTTTCCCTGTGGCTGTGCATTTATGAAAGCAGATTCATGTTCCATTTCTGAAGCCAGTATGCAGCAATGTGATATCGTGCAGTATTTTTATCACACAGTGTTTTTTACAAGAGCTACATGCATGCATAGTCCTTTGAAAAACTCCTTCATTCTTCTTATGTCCTGTCACAGCTTTTGCTGTCAGTTTTTCAGAATATCTGTATCCAGTTTGTGCTAGGTTTTGATATAGGCTTAGTACTGGCAGTTACCAGCAAAATCAGAAGTCAGTCAGTGAGAAAGAGACAGAATGGCTGGTGTTTTCAAAAGTAGAGTGTGATTTTTGACAACACAAAAGTAAGTCATAGGTACGAGTGTGCTGTTGATAGTTAGGTCTGTAGACTTTTCATCGCTTTTTAAAGATTATTTTAACTTTTATTTTGCAGATTAGCTGTGAGGAATTACTTTTCATGGCCTTAGTTCAGGGGGAGTGTGATCAAATATATGTTAATTTTCAGAAACTATAGTAGGCTGTGTCTGCATTAGAATAAAAAATTTTCGTCTTAATTACCATTCGGTTTCTGCACTGTTTCACACTTCTGTACTCAAGACTTCTTCATGCTGCACAAATAAATTCATTTTTTGGAGATGATCTGAGTTGAAGGAAAACTTAGCACCATGAGAACTTGTGTATCTCCACTGATAAGGTGCCAGTTTGGACTAACCTTGTTAGCATGAAAGCACGGCAGTGCAGAGTCCTCCTGACTCACATTTCTCTGTGCAGTACTGACTGCTGACTTTGCCTGTTTATTCTGCTCCCTTGAAAAGAAGCCAGGTTTGCCCTAAGTAATTCACCTGCTCAGATAGCAGCATGGGCCTCATTATTTGCTGTTTTCTCCATGGTCTAGCTTTTCAGAAGTGGTCAGCCTAATTTTCTTTCACTCCTCTAATATGCTTCAGTAGCAGCTAGCCTAGGTTTGATGTTCAGGTACTGCTTCTAATTTTGGTCCAAGTCTTGAGTGGCTGTATATGATTTTTTGAAACACTTTGTTTTCTTACAGGGTGTTACAGCTACCAGCTGTTTCAAAAGTGAGTTAGAGTAGCAAATCTTTACAGCTGAGACATTATTATAGCTGGGACAGCAAGCCACAGGATATTATCAGTAATTCCTGTTCAGGAGAGAAGTGAGATGTCTCTAGTATGTTATAACCTGAGCTGACTGGTGAGAATTTCCCATTTTGCACAGTTGGAGATGCTGCTTGATAACCTGCAGGTGCCTTACAGTGAGAGGTGAGATGACTCGATGGGCCAGTGAAACCTTGCAAAGATGTCAAGATCTTCCAGGCTGTTGGAAGTAGTTACAAAGGTATTCTGAAGGTAGAAGAGACAGGATATGTAGTCTAACAAATACATAGCTTTTGGCGGAAATATGTTCTTATGGCGTCAAGTCCTTAGGCTTGAAACCTGTGGGACTTGTTTTTTATTTGTTTTGGATGCTGCTTTTAGTAAAATAGTGGACATTACAGGGGAAGAAATCTCTGTTTTGCTTTTTACTTTTCCATGGTGCTTTTCTCCTCTGTCTTCACTCACATTCAGTGTCCACAACTGCTCAGCTGACCTTAGCCCACAAATTGTGGTTTCACTGCCATTTTGTTTCCTGGTAGCTCCCCCCACTTTCAGCTGCACAGCCAGGGCTTGTGCCTAACTGTTGCCTAAGCCTTTACTGGTGTTCATGTTCAAAGGTCCCCTTAAAGAGGAGGAAAATAACAAAGCAGAACAGAAATGGTGACTCAAAAGGCTTGGGAGTGTGGTTCTGCCACTGTAAGAAATGAAATAGAAGGTATTATGGTTAAATGATCTATTTTGCCTTTTATCAGTCAGACAGGATGCTGGACTGAAGTGAGTAATTACTCAGCTATTCTTTACATGCCTGTAGTCAAATTACAGTTGGTTCTCACAATTAGTGCATGAAAAACACCTGTAAAAATATTTTTATAATAAAGTGGTATGCAGGCCAGGAAGTCTGGAGAAATAACTACATTAATTCCATGTCAGCTCAATAGCACAGCTTAAAAAGTCTAGTGAAGATCCAGATGAGTTTTAGCCTTTGTTTTTGTTATATTTAGTTAATTTAATCAGCTGTTTCTTCAGATAGAACAGATAATCAGTACTCAAGGATTTACACATTTGCATTGATGATGGGAACTGATGTTAGTTCCCAAGTCAGACATATTCGTCGACAAAACTGTGTATTTACCACGCATATGTAGGACATCTTATTTTCATGAACATGGCAGGAGCAAGCAGAAGGCAGTTTCTCCACATGCAGTTCTCAAGCTGTCCCCATATATTCCATGGACACGCAAGACTTTGTCTTTCTCTTGCTTTTCAGTTTTCACCACAATGTTTGTCACCCAGGCTTCTTTACTCTTATGTCCTTCCACTTTAAATAGCATAATTTGAGCCTGATGAGAAATTTAAATCCATAAAATGTGAGAGAGGATTAATTATTTTAGTGCAGATCACCTTCCTGATCCAGTTTACCACACTGCCATGTGAATGCTTGTGCTAGCACTAAGGGGACAGTACACATGTAGGAATGAATGACAGGGCACTGGAAAAATCTTAGTAGGGCTTATGCTGGCACACAGTGCCTGTGGATCTGTGCTGACACAGGGAATGGTTTCACAATACAGCTTTAGGTGAATTAGCCACCCTGAGTGTCAGGAGCTCCATTTTCCCTGTTCCTACTTCTGGATGTGTGCTCCTGCCACTTCCTCAGGCCTGCGCTGGCATTTTTTGAATTGCTTGGTGAAGTAACATCACACACTAAAATGGCAGGAACTTACAATAGAAAAAGAACAGTGAAATTTTCCTGCCAGGTTGGTGGTTTGAGTAAGTGTAACATGATTGACTGCACAGCTGGGAGCCTGGGAGCAAAGCAGGGAGTGGGAAGAGAGCAGAGAGAAGAGATACTCCCTTCTTTTGGCATTGGTGAGCACCTACCTAATTCAGCTCCGCTGCATTCATAAACCATATCCACATTCAGTATTAGGGCCTCTTGGACTAGTTTAAGCAGCCCCTGTAGCTGCCATCTTTTAGCTACTTATTCCTGTCCCTGTTGCCCTCTGTGCTTTGTCTAAATTGCCAGGGCAGCAGAACAGTTTGGCCAGCAAACATGGCTGGAAACATAACACCACCTTTTCCGCCAGTGTTCATCCTGTTGGCGAATGTGCACAGAGGAGCAGTAAGTGTCAGTGCAGGCGGCTATGGGGGCTCATTAGCCTGGCACTGTCACCAGGCTGTCAAACTGCTGCGCCACATGCCATCCACCACGTAGTCTGCTGGTACCAGTTTGCAAATGTTGTTGGCTGTAGGTGGGCTTCTGCTCAGGTTTTGCCTTGTATCTCTCATTTTCTATGGGCAGCCGCTCCTGCTGTTTCTATATACCATGGCCTTTGCTGTATATTTAGCTTGGACATGGAGCTTTGGATTCAGGTATTAGTCAAAGAAAGTTTTGGCTGCCGTCCTTGTTGCAGTCTGCTTGGAACTGTGTCGTATCTGAACGTTGTTAATTGAGCATTGTAAATTGAACATTGTAAATTGAACATTGCCCACTGTATCTGCATTGAATCATATTTATTCATTTCCCTCTGCCACAGCAAAAGCTCCCACATCTCTCCAGATCTGTTTAGTGGAAACCCTGTTCCCTCCTTCTGAGCTCTAGTAAGGGGAACAAGTACATTTTCAAAACTCATTTATAAAGACCTTCACAGCCCCCTGTTGCTCCCATTCTGTCCCTTGTGTTGAGAAGCTTTGTTCTAGAAAAGCTCGTTTGCTTTCTGGTCACTGTGTCAAAGGGAAGGTGGCTTTCAGGAAAACCTTGGAGTCTGAAACTTGAGTGGGAACATACCACCCTTACCTTGAGCCTTGGCATTCTGAAGGAACAGTGGCCTAGTACTGTGGTCATTACCTATCATGTTTGATTTTTCTATTGCACTGACAAGAAGTTTTCTTAAATAAGGTGTTAAGTCACATTGATATGCTGCACAATAGAGAGCCTGATGAAAAAAGATGCATGTCCAAGAGAAAAAGGAAAGTTCCAGGTTTTGTGTAAACAATGAAAATAATGAGTTTCAACTGAAGGAGGAGGAAATCAGAATAATCTGAAAGATTAGATAGGGCCAGGCAAGGAGAGCAAACTGTTGAAGCAAATATGGTTTTGAAAGTAAACAAAAAAGAAAAATTAATTCCAGTGAGTGGATTTCAGTGTATATAACAGAGTAGAAGAAAAATAGTGGAATAACTAGGCTTATATTTACTTGCAATTGCACAGATTCTAACTTGAAGTAATATAGTTTATGTTCTTCTGTGCTCATGATCTAGACAGCATGAGTCTTGGTACAGCATAACACACAGACAAGGAAAATCAGAATGTCAGTGAGGTATAGATTTTGAACCTCTTAAGGTATTTTTGTCTCCCTTATCTTGGCTTGGTACTGGAAAACTGTCTTCATATAATAAAATAAATAGTTGAGCACTGCCAATATGCTTTCTGCTATGTGCTGAGTATGCACTTGTACATCGAAGATGTTAGTTCCATGTAACCTCCATGTGTCCCCTACAGGTATACTGCAAATTATATTTATTAAATGTATAACAAGAGATCTGTGGGTTTTTGAATTACTACTCTTGTGAGGATGGAAATGTAGTAACTGCAATATTGTTACTGTTAGACAAGTAAGCTGCAGAAAGAGCTAAGTGTGAGAATTCATTTGGTCTCGGTCTGGAAAGCGGCACTGAAAGACACTTCTCTTGTTAAGTGAAACTTCTTTTCCTACTCCCTGAGTTTTGCAAGAGGATAGACATGTAGAATGTAAATGGACTTGTCTAATCCAACTTTTCCAGTGGTAACGCCTGAGCAGCTCCCTAAGTACCAGTAACAGATGGGTGTGCCAGTGCAAATAAAGCACCAATGGCTGCCAGTGTTTTTATTTCTGTGTCCCATAGTTCTGCCCTGACTATCGTTAGAAAACATGGGTGCCACCCTCTGGCATCACTGATGGGAGGTGCATGAGGGAGTAGGTAGGAATCTTTTTTACGAACAAGGGACCAGGGTAGACCTGGTTGCTGCGTCAGTGCTTTTTATCATGGATCTTGGTGACTATATGAGCATGTTTCTGTGTAAGTACAAGTTGGTATGTATATGCTTATACATGCTCGTGCATGCACATCGTTTAAATAAATGTAAGTGTCCATTTCTAGTGAGCACCTGTGCAGAACAAAGTCTTTAACTACTGTTAAAATGGAGCTTGGACTGTTTATGACTCAGATTATACAACATGATTGCTGGCTAATGGTCCTAAAGTCTATTTTCCTGTGATACCATCACATCTGTTCATTTGTGTCTTTCATATCTGTGTGTATCTGAGAGTGAAAGAAGATAGGACTGTTCCTTTTATGGTGATACCTGTGTGTTTGTGTATAAGTGTGTGTATGTGTTAGCCAAGGTAGGTTGACTTAGTGTGCTTGCTTTCAGAGTGTACCTGAAAAGCTTGGTGTTATTGCTGTATTATTGCTCCCTTGACTGGATTTGTATTATATCCACACCTGAAACCAGGTGAATTTGCTAGAAAATTAAAAATTAAAGGAAATAAAAAATGAAACGGATGTTCTGTGATACCTTAAAGTGCAGATATAGTCCGTTTTTGTCTTTCTGCTGCCTCTGTTGTGCAACTGATAAAGCATAATTTCACCTGTTAATTTTAAGCATGAGAATGAACTGTTCAATGTTTCATCCATCACCAACTTCTATAAAACCATATTAATCTCAATAAGAATGCCAGTAACATTTGCCTTTGAGGTTAATTGCCTTGAACTCGTAGCTGAAAATAAAGTAATTACTTAGAGGATAAAAGTCCTAATGCCTATAAAACATTTTAGATGATACTGTTTGTGAAGCTGTTAAATATTACTTTTTTGGCAATGTTTATAAGAAACAGTGGCTAAATATACATGCCTCGACTTTCTGTCAGTCCTCACTACTGATTTTTATAATTTAGAAATAATAGTCCAGCTCCTCTGCTGATGTAAATCAATGCAGCACCACCGAGCCTATTCCTGGCTTATGACTTCAGTCCTCAGTAAAGATACTATACTTAGTGTAGCAGTGGGGCATCTTCTAAAATGCTTTTGTGTTCTCCAGAGAATAAACAAAACCACATACACCAATTTGAATGGAAATACAAATTTCTACAGGGGTGATCTCCCCCTCTAATGCAGAACAACTGAAATTCTACATCAGGGGAGTATTTTGGGAGGCCTGCAGGCTGATCTGCAGTCCTGGTGCAGCTCAAAGACACTGGCATACACTGGTGAATCTAGGCCTGTCTGAGCAGGGTTGTACACGTGATCAGTGCACTTACACAATCATAAGGGTTTGTAGGTATATGATTGCACCCTCTAAGGGATTAGTACTAGCTGAAATCACAGCTTGAAAGGTGCATGCCTGCACAGGCTCTGGATTTTTAACTAAAAATGCAGAAAACCTCCAAATGTTGTGCTTCACATTCGTTATAGACCTGGCAGTGTTAAGGAGTCGGTACCAGAGAGCCCTAATGATAGGACTTTTTCTCTCCTTGTCTTTGTGGAGCAACAGTATGAGTTGTGGCAGGGTCTGTAGTCAAGGACAGACATTTATACGCATGCTGCTGATCTGTTCATTTGTTATGGCCCAGAAGATAAAAAGCTGAGCCATTCTGGCATCTAAGAAGTGTGTAAGCTAGAAGTGTATTACCTGTATTAGCTGTTCTTTAGGTATAACTAAGTTCATGACTATGAATTCTCATGCATAGGCAAGCCTTTAGGCCTAGGGGTAGCCAGCTGCTTGTGAAGCACTACAGAACAAGCTTAATCTTAAATTCTCTCTGGTCATGAGTCTATCGTTTGTAGGATTTGATAATAGACATCCTGTATCAGTCCCAGTGCTCCTTCTTCACATGGCCACTGATCGTAAGAGGTAGAAAGCTCCATACTCGGCTCACTTGTTGCTTCATAAATCATCCTTTCTCCTAATAAATCTCATTAATATTCTTTCTGTCTATGCAGAAGACAGAGGTTGGAGACCCACTTGCTTGTAATTGAACATGGCAGGGGATGTAAAAAGATTCACACGCATGCTTCTGGAATGTAACAGCAATGACAAGCTATGTGGTAAGATTCACAGATTCCTTTAAGTAATGAGCTTTCACATGCTGAGCAGGAAGTCCAGCTTTACTAAAAAGTGGGCCAAGCCCTTTCCCTTCCTCCACCTGCATCCCAGCCCACACAGAAGGATTTGACTGAGCTTTCCCTGCATTGTGTCTCAGGAGAAACTTTTAAGGGGATGCAGCCTTTGTGGTGGGATTAATCTCACAGAATTTTAGCCATTTTAGAGTATTTCTGCTTTGAATGAGATAAAGATCCCCTGCAACTTCCCTAAGGACCAGTCTTGTGAGATTTTGATTTCATGACTTTCTGTCATCTTTGGGAAACGAAATGTGATCTTGGCCTAGCCTTGAAATAGCACCACCTCTCAAATCTGGGGACATAACAGGGTTAGTTACCTGCAACATCCTTGTTAATTGCAATGTCTTTGATCAAATTCCAAACCAGGTGACTACGCCCTGTTTTCTTTAAAATTCTCCCTATAATTTTAAAGTAAGGAGCTGAAGCTGTAATTGCATGTACATTTGTGATGGCACAGCAATGTCCAGCCCTTCCCATCTCCCTGCTATCCCTCTGCCAGGGCCAGTTCTCTTTCACCGGTGGAGGATACTTACACATGACTACAATTCATAGCCTCTGTATTAAGGCATCTAAGTAAGTGACCTTAGGTGTGGGAGTCCCACTGGTTTGATGCAGTTTAGATACTCATCACCTCTGAAAAACAGGGTGACAGTGCTAACTGTGTTCTGTTGCTGTTCCAAGGAGCAGAGGATAGATACATATGCTTTTGGGGTTGAAAGTTACTGAAATGAGTTACTACTAATTTGTTATACAGAATGAATGCACCGGGCAGTGCTGCTTATTCCTTGGTTTCCCATTTTCTTTTGCTGATGATAGTTGTGCGTGAATATCAGACTGAAGTGATTGTTGTCCCTGTTCTCCTTGTGGGTTTTTTTGTCATCGTGCTAACTGTGATCCTTTGGCTCCACTGTCGTGGCTTGCGAGCAAAGCAGGAACAGTCATCATCATCTGGACACCAAGGTAAAAAAATGTCTTTAAACCAGAGGAAAGAGTGTTGGTTTCAGTGGCTGGAAGTCAGTCCTATTTCCCCATTGCTTGAGCTGTTAGGCAATAGCATTTATGAAGAGCCTGAGTGGTATTCAACAATCCAGTGAAGTTTAGAAAAACTGGGGACCCTGATTTACCCCACTTGCAGTAGTAGTGGTGGAATCTGTAGCATAGGTGGATCTGAGAAAACCTAAAGCTCCATACCATGTGGGCTATTTAACATACTGTGGGGACATCACTTGAGAGCTGGATAGTGTGTTTATGTAAGAGCCTTCTAGAGGCTACTGCACTGAGGTAATTATGAATGACGTTTCAATGTAGATCACATCTAGTTAATCATTTTCTATACTGTCATTAAGAAATTTAATTTCAAGCTGCTGTCTCCCACTTCCTATGAAGACAACAGAAAATAGAACAGGGACTGATGAGGGGTTAGAGAAAGGTATGTTGGTACTGGAAACACATGTTGCTGTGTGGAAATGAAAATCCAGTTCTGAACTGAATTTGGTTGTGTAGAGGAAAAAGCCTCTTCAACCTATATTAAAGGAAATAACTGAGAACAAAGATAAGGCGTTTGTGGGAACACCCTGTGCATGTCACTTTCATAACAACTGGTAGCTGGTAATAAAAGAAAATGGTCCTTGCTTCTGCACATGGGAATCAAGCACATATGTGTGTTATCATCTAGAAAGTTTACGTAGTTAAATATAGTAGAGATCTCCAGACTCACTCTGCCTTTTCATCAAATACAGTGGGAGATAAATCCCTTCTCCTCTTCAAGAGCCAGGATAGGTCAGATACCATAGCAGTTCCTTACTTTGTCCTGATTTTCAAAACAGTATGGAGCAAAATTTAAAGAGGATAGAAGAATGGGCATTGCCACTGACTACAAGAGTTCATCTGTCTGGTTTTATGCCTCATGTGTATTTGCTTTTGTCAGTGAATGACAAGAATCAGCAGGAATCCAGCTCAACAGAGAACTGCTATATCCAGCTGAGTGAGACGTCTGTGGAGAGCCTGCTAAATTCTGCATCCTTGACTCTGAAAGAACTGGAGATACCACGAGAGAAACTCTCAGCAGGCACCTTGCAGCTGCTAAAACATGGCCGCTATGGGAGCACTTACAGGGCACAGCTGGAAACTGGGAACCCAGGGAAGACTAAGCCTGTAGTATTGAAAACCTTACAAGGTAAGGCACGTGGCCAGGACCAGCTTCGGTACAGATCTCTGTATCAGAGACGTGATGCTGGGCAGAACTTTGCAGTCATTATGGGGCAAACACAAGCTGTGTTCACTATCGTGTTAGCTAGTCAGCGTGGTGTTTTGGTATGAGTGTCTTGGTAGGACTAAAGAAGATTGCTGTTCATATTGATTTTAAGCTACTCATTTTCATTTTGGTTCTTTGCTGCCTCCATTTGAGGGTTGTTTTTTTTTTTTGAAGGGAGGTTGGTTGTTTTACTGTGGGGTTTGTTTTGGTTTAGTTTTGGGGTTTTTTGTTCTTTCAGACCCGGCTAGTCCCCAGGAAGTAAAGGATTTCCTGGGAAGGATTAAATTCCATCAAAAGCTTGGCCATCATAAGAATTTGGTTGAACTGATTGGATGCTGTGTAGACCAGCTCCCACTTTATATGATCATGGAAGATGTGTCTCTTGGTGACCTGTTGACATTTCTGTGGACATGTCGGAAGGTGAGACAAAAGAGTGATGATAGAATACCTTCTTAAATTCATTAGGTACATATCTATCCATAAATCATAGTCCATAAGTCATAGATGATTCTTTTCATCATTCCATGCATCCCTCTATATCAGTCTAAACTATTTCCATCCCCTAAAGAAGTTCTACACAAGTCTAAACTGGAATAGAATTAGTGGATATATCAACTGATATGATATAATTTAGAGAAGTTGACATACTTTTGTAAGGCTAAGTCCTCCTTTGCAGACCATTGGAATTCCTTGAAGGGTATAGCAGACACTGGAATAAAAGTGATAGTTGATACAGCTACATGGATTTCTGAAAAGTTTTAAATGATGTCTCACTCCAAATCCTTTTAAGAAAGCAGAGCAGTTACACCAGGGAGAAGGTCACTGAATGATAACTAATTGATTAAGAGACAGGAAACAGAGCATAGGAGTGAAAGGCTGATACTTGCCCTGGAGGGAGGTCACCCACCTAAGACCTGGTGCTGTTTGTTTCATGTATCAATAACCTAGAAAATGGGCCAGTAAAGGCAAGGGCTGACCCTGAGGAATCACAGAAGGATCTTCCAAGATTGAGAGACTGGCCAATAAAAGGAACAGATGAAATTCAGCATTGTCAAAAAAGAAATGACACATATGTAGAAAAGCAGTCTTGGCATATGTAATGATGGCCTTGTATCTGCCCATTGCTGGTGGGGAGTGAAATGATGTATCTGATTGTATGAAAATATAGAGTCTGGTGAAAATGTTAAACCAAAAAAGAAACCTAGTACCAGGCATTATTAAGACAGGCGTAGAAACAAACCTCTGCCATGTCACTATGTATAAATCCATCATTCTACATCTGGAACACTAAATACAGAGAGATTGCTTGCTGTCTTCTTCAACAGAAGGTTGAGGTGGTAGCAAAGAAAGCCAGTAAGTGCCATGTTCAAAACAAACAAATGGAGGTGGTTCTTCACCAAGTGAAGAGTTGACTAATGGAGTTCATTGCCACCCACTACTGTGCATACTGAAACTTTATATGGGCTCAAGACAAGACTGAATACATTTGGTAACCTTTCAAAGGTAACTGAACATGTTGAAACCATAAACATCTCAAGATGTCCTTAAACTGAAAATAGTTTGGGGCTGGAAAACGACACAAGAAAAGCACTGTGTGCTTACCCTATTCTCTTTCTCTCATCTGGGCATCCAGCTAGGGTCACTGTTACAGGCAGGGTAGTAAGAGAGATGGACTTGGTCTCATACCAGACAACCGTTTGTGTAAGTGTGCTTTTCTACTCATCATTCTAATTTATAATATATCTTTCGTTCATCTGTATGGACTGTCATTCTCCACTGTCATTCTGACCATTTCTAACCTATTAATCTCTTCTTCACCCTTCACTTTACCCACCAGTTGTCTCTAGCGTGCTTGTCTTACCCAGCACACCATCCATCCATCACCATCACCCACCCATGTACCCTTATATTTCAGTCAATTTATGACCAATTGTGAAAATAGCTGGGGGACCATAGAGTACTCATTTTATTAGATTAGAAGGAAACATTCCCCAGTACCCTACAGCTATGTTATTTGTTTGAGCCAAGGTCTTCTCTTTTGTCTCTAGGATATTATGACAATGGATGGTATACCCTATGACCTCACTGAGAGGCAAGTATATGAAGTTGGACAGCAGGTTGCAGCAGCTCTGGTAAGTCTGCTCTCATTTGCTCCATTTTGTCTTTCTTGCTTGATTGCAACACAAGTCTAGATGGTGCCCTGAGTCTTCCTGGCCTAAGCACCAAGGATGTGCTTTGTTAAAACTGAGCCAAAGATGCTTGCATTATTTTGGTGAGCATATGCCTCCATTCCACAGCATGAAAGACAGGCAAAAACTAAGTAAAAATTTGTATCAATTAAAATTCCTTTTAAAATTTTCATGGCCTCTCTCTTCTCCAACTTTCCAGGCTTACCTTGAAGAGAAGAAGTTGTTCCATGGTGACATTGCTGCCAGGAATGTTCTCCTTCATCACAACTTCACTGCTAAACTCTGTGGTTTGGATCTGGCCTATGAAACTCACACATACGGTGCCAACTCAGTCACACAGATTGTGCCAGTCAAGTGGCAGGCACCAGAGAGGCTCCTGAAGAAACCCCCCAGCATCAAGGCAGACATGTATGATTTAATTTTTGGACTGGAAGTTTATCTGTCAGGCCTATCTCTTTCACTCCTTTATGTATCATTTAATGTTTGGAAGTTCACGGTAAGGCATATCTACTCTCAGCATAATGCTTCACTTTACAGCTCATACCTTCTCAGTCCTGCAGGTCATGCCTAGTTGTTTTTATGTATTTAAGCTAGCTAGCTAGAATGGAAAGTTAACATCACTTTGTTTTCTTTTCTTGCAGATGGTCTTTTGGAATTCTACTGTATGAAATGATTACATTAGGTAAGAAGATTTAATGACTAAAAAAATAGGTAAGGAAGCAGCAAATTAACAAGATACAAAATCTCAAATACTAGAATGTAAAGTTGGGCCATTTAAAGAAACAACCTGTTTTTTTCAACTTGCAAAGTCTGACAATTCCTTTTAGACTTTCTGTCAGTGTGAACTGTGGTAGGAAAAAATGGATTTTGGTAGGGACTGACACAGAAGCTGCTATCTGCAACCATTACCTTACAGTTTTTCTACTGTTATTCCTTTTGCCCTTCCAGGTGCTCCACCATATCCTGAGGTGCCACCTTCTGACATTTTATCATACCTGCAGAGACAGAACATTATGAAGCAGCCCTCAAGCTGCCAGCAAGCCATGTAAGCCACTTGCTTTATGGACAATTAAACTTAAGATCTGCAGAGTGAAATGGAAGTGAGACATACAAAACCAAATCTTACAAAAGATCTCTTAAGTCTAGACTATACAAAACAGTAACCTGTTATCTGAGGAGACTTGTTCTTACATATCTGCCACATCTCCTTACTGGATTCTGCTACATGAAACCTTGATTGCAAAAAACTTTTTTCCTGCTTTTTAAAATGGCTCTTGTTTCCATCTCCTTGTCTGCCCTTGCATTTTGTTGCTCCACTGCTTTCCTGCAAGGTGCAGGACTGTTTTGGAGTAATCTTTCTCCTCTAAGTTGTGGGATTTTCCCTGAAGTGAACATCTAAGTGAACATCCCTCCCTGAAGGGAATATCTAAGGCATTTTATTTCGGTTTGTGAAGACATAATTTCTTTTAATATTCAGAGTTTTTTCTTCCATAATGCTGTTTCAAAAGGGAATACCAGTCTTTTTGCCTTTTCCCATACAGTTGACATCCTGGTAAACAACTCCAAGCCTTTGTCCCCATGTATTATTATGTGTTTGAAAATTTCAGAGGGTCATTGGAAGAACTTTATATGAAGAAGAGAAAGAGGAGTCTCTAGTTATTTAAAATATGAGATGACTTGACTGTAGTAAAACTTCGTGTTGGTGCTTCTCATTCCCAGTGCTTCCCTACTTCTCCCCCTTACAGGTATGGCATCATGAAGTCCTGCTGGCAGTGGAACGCAGCTCACCGGCCTTCTCCAGCAGACCTGATCCGGTCCCTACAAACAGCTCTAAAGACCAGCAATGGCCACGCTGTTCTGCAGGTGCCTGAGCTAGTGGTGCCTGAACTCTACGCTAATGTGGCTGGTGTTGATGTCCACAGCCTAGTGAGGGAATACACTATACTCTGAAGGACCCTTTCACGTGCTGGTGAAGGAGAAGTCTCTGAGTTTGCCCGTTCTAGACACTTTGCAAGCTCAGAATGAGGTGTGTATGTTGGGAGGGATCCCTTTGTTTTTCAAACATGTTATACATATCAGATCTCTCCTCCACGCCAGAAACAACTAACTGCTATCATTATTATTAAATCAACCTGTTGATAATCATCCTGCCAGTGGTCATTGGGAAGCAAAGTGGGTTTAGGAAGTTGTGGAAAATGTGATGAGAAACTTGAGTTAAAGAAATGTATTGGGTTTGCATGGCAAAATTTTGGTAGCTGGGAGGCTAAAGGATTGGATTCTGTGAGAAGATGCCAGAAACTTCCCCCGTGTTTTATAGAGCCAGTTCCAGCTGGCTCCAAGATGGACCCACCACTGGCCAAGGCCAAGCCCATCAGTGATGTTGGTAACACCTCTGTGATAACATTTAAGAAAGGGTAAAAAATACTGCAAAGCAGCAGCTGGGAGGAAGGAGTGAGGATATGTGAGAGAAACAACTCTGCAGACACCAAGGTCAGTGAAGAAGGATGGGGAGGAGGTGCTCCAGGTGCCAGAGCAGAGGTTCCCCTGCAGCCCGTGGTGAGAGGGCAGGCTGTGCCCTGCACCCATAGAGGTTAACAGGGGAGCAGATCCCACCTGCAGCCTGGGGGGACACCCCACGCTGGAGCGGGGGAATGCCCGAAGGAGGCTGTGACCCCGTGGTAAGCCCCCACTGAGCAGGCTCCTGGCAGGACCTGTGGCCCTGTGGAGAGAGGAGCCCAGGCTGGAGCAGGTTTGCTGGCAGGACTTGTGACCACGAACTGCTCCAGTGGGTGTCCCCTGCAGGAAGAGCTACAGTCTGTGGGAAGGACTCACGTTGGAGAAGTTCATGGAGGACTGTCTGCTGTGGGACCCCACACTGGATCCAAGGAGGAGTGTGAGGAGTCCTGCCCCTGAGGAGGAAGGAGCAGCAGAGACAAGGGGTGATGAACTGACCACAACCCCCATGCCCTGCCCCCTGCGCTGCTCAGGGAGGGAGGGAAAATCAGGGGTGAAGTTGAGCCTGGGAAGAGAGGAGGGGTGGGGGAAAGTGTTTTAAAATTGTTTTTATTTCTCATTATCCTACTCTGATTTTGATTGGCAATAAATTAATTTCCACAGGTAAAGTCTGTTTTGCTGGTGACGGTAATGGCTGGGTGATCTCCCTGTGCTTATCTCCACCCACGAGCCTTTCATTATATTTTCTCTCCCCTGTCCAGTTGAGGGGAGTCATAAAGCAGCTTTTGGGGGTACCTGGTGTACAGCCAGGGTCAATCCACCACAAGGAGGTTTCTGGAAATCTCTCCCCACCCTTTCTGTCCCAGGAAACAGCATCAGTTGGATACTCATAGAGGAGATGTCCTGGGGAGTATGTCCTGAGGCACAGGAAAAAGTACAGGAGTAGATAATACAAATGGATAGTTTCCTGTCCGTTCACTAAGGACCTATTCGAGACAGGTGTGTTCTTGCCTTTTAAGTGTTCAGTAAGTGTCTGGGATTTCTCCAGTTGTTTATACTCTAGCTTCCCATGGGAGAATGGGTAGTGTATTAAAAAAAAAAAAAACACTCTAAAAACATGCATATTTGTGGATACAGAGGATGTTCATTAATGCAATGCATTTTCACGTAGAGAGTACCTCCCCTGTAGTAGCTGTGGGGTCAAGTGTGTACTCCAAGGCAAAAGGCATATTATCCCATGCTCGTCTCAGGAAAAACTCCCTACAGACCTGAATGCCTCAGGGATGGTTCTCAACCAGTCATTCCTTTGAGCAGAGCAGGACATTTGTTCACGTGCTTCTCTTTTGAGCTCTAATCGCTGGGTTAATTATTTTGGTTTTTGGGGCACATCTGACCATAGTTACAATAGCTACCGTGAAAACAGTATGGAAATATTAAGAGTACATCAAATATGAAAGATTGATCTACAGTAAAAACTAGACATGATGAGAAGAACATGCACAGTGGTTGTGTGATTATAGCGAGAATGTACCGTAGACTGTATTTATCTCAGTGGTGACACCTTTGCTGTCTGACTGCTGCAGGGAGGGTCTGGATACTGGACATTGCCTTCTCAGCTACCCTGCGGCAAGGGTGAGAGTGTGTAGCATTTTGTGAATACCGTGAGGATAACAGAGCTACTTCAGTGTCTCACATATAAACAACACAGATCACTTTGGTAATCATATGGAGGATGTGAACTTGTGTCCAGTGTGCTGTTGAATATGAACTCAAAATTCAACTTAAAATAACAGCATGAGAAGTTTTAGATATGTAGTTTTCCTGTAAGCAATTTATATGGCATCGATCAGTGGATACATTTTAACGGGAGTTCCAGACTTGTTTCCACTAAAGATTTCAAGAACTAGGGTGGCAGCACTGGTGATTGATGTCAGTGCATGTGATTTGACTAACTGGGTTATGAGCAGGCACTGGCTGGGCCGGTGCTATTGCAGAAAAGTCAGTAGTGCCTGAGCTAAGACTTGCCCTAGGACACCTGAGGGGTTGGAGTCCCAGGGGAAATACACCTGTACGTCTTCAGTGTCTGCCTTGAAGAGAGGCATGTCTCTTTAATTAAAAAAAAAAAAAAAATTGCCATTTTTGCTTGTTCAATATTTATATTTTATAATATAAACTGCACAAAGCTTATCTGAAAAGATTTGGTTGATTTAATGAGCATGCAAACTTTGAAAAAAAAAAAAAAAACAAAACAAAACAGATGCACTTGAAGTCCTGAACATTTTTCCTTCATTTCAAAAGAAGCAGAATCAGTCTGTGAAACAGATTTTCTCGTTTGACTTCTACTGTTAAAGGTTTCTAAGTTGACAGTGCCCTGTTTTGGTTTTTTTTGTTTTTTTTTTTTTCTAATTATTTTGGCACTGTGAGCAATAAAGATTCTTGTAAAAAAAAAAAAAAAAAGAATAAATGCATATTTAAGGAATAGTTTTACTGTTCTGTGTAAAGAGTGGATTCAATGTTCGCTCAGTATCCCTCCAATTAATATGACCCTTGTATGTGTTTGAAGTTGAAGGGCACAGCGACCCACAAAAGGCTAATTGCGGTCAGTTAGACTCGCTGGGTTTCAGTCTTTCATGTAGCTGAATCCCTGATAATTTCAGAACAAGTTGCAGATCTGCAGCATCCTATAAGGTCAAAAGTAGGTGTTAGCCATGCAGGATGCAAGGCTGAAAATCAGTGTTGTGAGAAAAGCTAAACAATGGCTCTTTTAACGGGGAATATTTAGCCTGAAAGAAGACTTCCACCGTCACTTTAGATATTAAACATATATAGCTGTAAAAAGCAGCTTAGATTCTGGTTTCCATCAACATTTTATGAGAGAATGTTAAGTTTTCTCTTCTAATGCAACATAACATGAATGGAATGGTTGGTTTTTTTCTGAATTGAATGGTTGTTTATCCTGTATCACTTAGGCTTTGTAAGAAACTATGTTTCCATCCAGAAATAAAAGTTAATTCATACAGCACATATCTCAGCACTATGTACCGGAACATTGCAAACTCCATGAAAGAATGCTCCGTTACCTTTCTAACTTTACTTATAGTATTGGCTAATTGCCACCTTAACATCCATAACCCCTGTTGGTGTAAATCTGGCTTGAAGAATTGTAACATCTGATTTTCAAACTGAAATTTTCAAAATTAAATAATAACATCTCCCTCTCTCTCCCTCACTTGAGAACAGGTTCAAAGCTACTTGGTAAATTTGTGTCAAATTCTCAGTTACCACTCAGCTGATATTATTTTTTCGGTGAATTAACTATCATTAAAAAACCGACCCCAACACTTGCTTGGTTCAAACCTCCCACCCGAGAGCGGGGTATTCTCGAAGGCCTTGCCCCTGCGAGGTGGGTGTGTTTCAGACATGTAACACAATCGCAGAGCCCTGAACAGCATCCACGGCGCTGCTCCAGACCTGATGAATAATGCACAGTGGTTCACAGGGAGCTTTGTTAAACGGGAAGACAAATGTGACAAGTGCATCACTGTTCTCAAAGCTCCCTATCTTGTTACATCACAGAAAGCAATGTTCTGGTTTACACCAATCCTCATATTTTGTTTCTGTTATCAAAGCCCTGATCAAGGGAATCCGTGGGAATTCAGGATCCTGAGCACCTCACAGTCTCTAGCAAAAGATCTGCTTTAGTTTCCCCTGAGAGCAAATCTGTGCCAAGACCCTGCTTATGAATTTGCCCAGAGAAAGAGATTTTCCTGCTATATGATAAGGTCTAAATTTAATTTCCTTTCAATAAAGCGGCTTGATTCTCAATGTGAGCATTCTCATTCTGATTTGACTGCCTTTTTCCCAGGTTAGTTTATGCAGGTCTGGAAGTGACAAAATCTAAATCAGTTTAAGATTTATGGAGGCATAAAAGGAGTTATACATGTGAAGTTACCCTAGTTTAGCTAAACTTCATGCTAATTAAAGCAGTCTATATAGAAATCTTTTCCACATGGCAGTCTCTGTTCATCCACAAGTCTATATTTTTAGGATCAGTGTAGACCCGTGCATGAATTCCTCCTTAGTGAATCTACTAAGGGCTTGGTGAAAATTTTTCACAGTTGTTTTGCGGAGAAGCATGAATTTTTAAGGGTAGACTTTATTTTATTTGTTTAATTGGATTATCTTGTCCCCGTGAAAAATGTTGATTTTTGATTATTATGATGACTTTTCCTCCAAGATGGCAGGGCCATCTGCATCATTCCGTCAGTCCCTGTGGGCTGAGTGTGAAGCAGAGGAGCCGCAGCTCCTGCAGAACTGGCAGAATGGACTTTGCACCTGGACTTTACCTCTCTGATTTGCAATACTGACAATTTTCCATCATCGAAAGCATGAGTTTACTGTTTCTTTGAAACAAGCTTTTTACTTTCTGCACGGTGATGTCCTAGGCTTGGGGTGTAAGTCTGGAAGCTTTTTTAGAATGTAAGAGAAGAATTTCTCCATCTGGAACAAAGCAGAGAACCAACGCAGCTGTTGCATTGCTGTCTTCTGTATATTTGAAGCAGTGACAGTGAGACCCTGTGCCTGAGCAGATTAGGTCTGCTGAGAGGTAGCGTTAGGGTCAACAGCAGCTGTCTCACCTCACTCTACTGCACTGAGAGTGAGTTTGCCCGGCCTCGCTTCTGATGGGACAAGGAGCAGTTTAGCACCACAGTGCATAAATTGTGTGCATCTGAGTCTTTATTTGACCAGCATTCAATGTACCTGCTTGTACAGGGTTAGAGACTGGAAGACAGTGGATTGTTCCACTGCCCTTCTCAAATGTAGATGAGACAGGTCTTTCATTACAGATAAAGTTCATCTCTGCTACCTGCCCTTTTCAGCCCTTTGATCATCTTTTCAGTGAGAGGCTGAATTAGCACCAACAGCTCTCCCAAGGATGAGAAATCTCTGTCTGG